TCTACATGCCCCCGGAGGCCATTGCTCCTGCTGCCTCGAGCTCTGAAAAGTCCAAGTACGATGCCAGTATCGACATCTTCTCGTTTGGGGTGATCACCATTTTCACAGTCGGTGAAACCTTTCCCAGCGACCCGCTGGCTCCGAACTATCTTGACAAGCAGAGTGGGCATCTGGTAGCTCGCACGGAGCTACAGCGACGCAGTCAGTACATGAGCGAAGTGAATTCCCAACTCGGTGCCTGTGGCCAGCTCCGTGGGGACCACCCTCTTATTAGGGTCATCCAGCAGTGCCTGAAGAACGACCCTCGCAAGCGGCCGAGTATTCGTGAGGTGCTTTGTCTGTTGGAGGAGGCCAGAGCTGGTGCTGGGGACTATGGGTGGGAGAGGATGCAAGCTCTTCTGAGTCAATCCAAGCAGCATGTGAGTGCCGTGTGTTAGCTCTAAGCATTACCCCAGGCCTTTCTCCCTCTTCCACGTGCACATGCTCGGAGCACTGTAATTATGCATTGTGGAGTGAGAACGCCTGGATGATGTTTATTAAATCAACAACCTACTATATTGGAAGGCCGCCTGTTTTTTTGTTACTAGGATCTTGAGCAAGATGTTGAGTCCCTTGTACAGAAACTGCAACTGGAACTACAATCCAAGAGCCAGGTTTGGGCTACATTGTTACTGTGATTGTGTTTATGATAGTGACTTTGGTGGTGGGTATATATAGGAGAATGCTGAGCTACAGCGACAGCTCCAGTCCAGTGAGATGGAGGGGCAAAGAGTCAAGCAACAACTGGAAAGAGAGCTGGCAAGGGCTGAGGAGACTATCAGGAGAAACCAACAGACGATACAGAAAGTTAGTCTGCAGAGTGTGTATTGTTGATTGAAATCTCTTAAAAGATCACACTTACACATAGTATGGAATTCTGGATACTACAAACACACCCATGGAGCCTAGCCCCATAGACCACTTACTACAAAATTTCGCTTACACTAAAGAAATTCTTTAGGACCCCAACAATTCATTACAACGACACTACTGTCTGCAGGAGACGGAGCCGGCAAGGAAGGACAGGGAGCTAGCTGAGGCTCTAGAGAAGTTGAGACATAAGGTCAGTCAGTGGCCGAGAAAGACAGTGTGTTGTAAGGTTGTAGTAGACTCATTGTTATGTCATTGTTATGTCATTGTTATGTCATGTATCATTTCCGGTTCCTGTCTGTAACGTATATAAGTGCATGAAATCGTATGATGTGTGTCGAACCCATTACCGTGAAGTTACGACATTTTGGCAACGAGGTCGGGATCCGATGGCTGGCACGCTAGGCCACATCAAGGAGTTCGACGGCAGCAAGGATGATTGGCTGCAGTATGTCGAGAGGCTCGAGTACTTTTTCGTCGCAAACGGGGTCACCACTGCCGAGAAGAAGCGCGCAGTGTTCCTGACGGTCATCGGCGCAGCGACGTATAAGACGCTACGTAACCTCGTGTCTCCGGCGAAACCGGGAGAAAAGTCTTACAGCGAACTGGTCAGAGTATTGTCTAAACACTACAAACCTGCACCGTCGGAGATAGTGGAGCGGTTTAAAGTTCCACAGTCGGTGTCGTAGACCGGGAGAGTCCGTGGCGACGTTCGTCGCGGAGCTGCGGTCCCTCGCAGAATTTTGCAACTTTGGCGATACACTCGAAGTAATGTTGCGTGACCGTATCGTCTGCGGGATCAATGATGATGCTATTCAGAAACGGTTACTCTCTGAGTCCGGTCTCGACTATGCGAAAGCGGTACAGACAGCGCTGAACATGGAGACGGCTGCTCAGAGCGTCAGGGAGCTCAAGAAATCCGAGAGTTTGCAGTCGACCACACCCGCTGTTCATAACACGAGCGCATCCCCGTCCGTTCCTACCTGTTTTCGTTGCGGCACTCGAGGTCACACAGTGGCCAACTGCAGGGTCGATGGGGAGGTGGTGTGTCACCGTTGTGGGAAACGGGGTCACCTTCAACGAGTCTGTAAGAGCAAGAAGAAACCACCTCCGCCCAAGTTCAATCCTACGAAGCGCAGGAAATCTCGAAAAGTTGGGCGATTGGGGGACGAAGAGGATGAGGAGAGCGAGGAGGAGATCGATGAAGAGGAGTGCAACAAGTTGTTCCACGTAGCTAAAGGCCCGAGCTCCATCAATGCCCCTCCAATAAAAGTCAAGGTGAGGGTGGATGAGTGTGTGATTTCTATGGAGGTAGATACTGGGGCTGCCATGTCACTTATGTCAGAAGCCACATTTTCCAAGTTGTGGCCTGGTAGGGAACTACACCCTTCGCAGGTCCGCCTCCAGACCTACTCAAAAGAGCCTTTGACAATCTTGGGTTGTTGCAATGTAAACGTATGTTATCAAGGTCAGACAGCCAAGATGCCTCTGCAGATAATCAGGGGCTCTGGGCCCACCCTTATGGGTAGGGACTGGTTGAGTAGGATAAGGCTTGACTGGTCACAGATCCACCACCTCCATACACCCTCACTCCATGCCTTGTTAGAACGTTTTCTGAATGTGTTTGGGGCAGGCCTAGGTACCCTGAGGGGCTACCAAGCCAAGATACATGTGGAGCCAGGGGCAGTGCCAAAGTTTAAACCTGCTAGGACTGTGCCCTATGCCCTCAGAGATAAGGTGGACCAGGAACTGCAGCGCCTTCAGGACGAAGGGATTCTGGAGCCTGTAGAAATAGCGGAGTGGGCAGCGCCAATTGTAGTAGTTCTGAAGCGTGATAAGTCCAGTATCCGTCTGTGTGGGGATTTCAGTGTAACTGTTAATCCCGTCTCCAAGCTCGATAGGTACCCCATACCTAGAATTAACGATCTGTTTGCCAAGCTGGCGAAGGGGAAGCTATTCTCAAAACTAGACTTGAGCCATGCCTATCAGCAGCTACCGCTAGAGGAAGAATCGAGAAAGTATGTGGTGATTAATACTCACAAGGGGCTGTTTCGTTTTACTCGCTTACCGTTTGGGATATCATCAGCCCCTGGAATCTTCCAGCGGGTAATGTAAAGTCTTCTCCAGGGTATCGAGGGAGTTGTCGTTTACCTCGATGATATACTGGTTACGGGGAGGACAGAGGGGGCTCACCTGAAGGCTCTGGAGGAGGTGCTGAGTCGCTTAGAGCGGGCAGGCCTGAAGGTTAAGCGTAGCAAGTGTGTCTTTATGCGACCTTCTGTGACTTACCTTGGTCACGTCATCGATGCTGATGGTCTGCACCCTCTAAAGGAGAGAGTGAGGGCTATCAAGGAAGCTCCGACACCCAGATCAGTCCCCGAGCTCAAGTCTCATTTGGGTATGCTTTCGTATTGCAGCAAGTTCTTGCCTAATCTCTCGTCAACCTTGCAACCGCTGTACGACCTGTTGAAGAAGGGTGTCAATTGGCGTTGGGGTGCCGCACAAGAGAAGGCTTTCGCTGCATCTAAGAAGCTTCTCACGTCATCTAATTGTTTGACGCATTTTGACTCAACGTTAGATCTGACCCTGGCGTGTGATGCTTCCAGTTACGGATTGGGAGCTGTCCTCTCGCACAAGATGCCTGATGGGTCGGAGAGGCCAGTTGCGTATGCCTCGCGAACGTTGAATTCTGCCGAACGTAACTACTCTCAGCTTGAGAAGGAGGGGCTCTCTTGCATTTTTGGAATAAAACGGTTCCATGACTACCTTTTTGGGCGTCACTTTGAATTGGTGACCGATCACAAGCCGTTGCTGGGCCTCTTGAAAGAAGACCGAGCCACTCCACCGCAGGCGTCGGCAAGAATCAAACGCTGGTCTCTGTTCCTGTCCAGCTACGAGTACTCTTTAGTGTTCAGGAACACTTCGGCACATGCAAATGCAGATGCACTGAGCCGTTTGCCACTGCCAGAGGAGCCTGCATCGGTGGCGGTAGAACCAGAGCTTGTACTGCTGGCCGAACACCTTGCAGTTTCGCCAGTAACCGCCAACGATATTCGAGAATGGACAAGAGGCGACAAGCAGTTGTCCAGAGTGCTACAGTTTGTACAGCAGGGTTGGCCAACGAATGGAGACCCAGAGCTGGAACCATACTCGGCTCGTCGACTAGAGTTGTCGACCTTTGAGGGTTGCATCTTGTGGGGTTCGAGGGTTGTCGTTCCGACACCGGGAAGACAAGCAGTCTTACAGGAGCTGCATGAAGGACATCCTGGCATTACCCGAATGAAGTCTTTGTCCCGGATGTACGTTTGGTGGCCAGGTATAACCGCGGACATCGAAAAGTCAGTTAGGTTGTGCCTCAAGTGCCAGGAAATGCAGTCCACCCCACCAGTGGCTCCTCTAAACCCTTGGAAGTGGCCTACCAGGCCATGGGAACGCCTGCATCTTGATTTTGCAGGGCCTTTTGAAGGTAAAACCATTCTGATTGTTATAGATGCTCATTCCAAATGGATTGAGGCAATGTGCACACCCTCAACTGCTTCCTCTCATGTGATTGAGGCTTTGAGAACGCTGTTCTCCAGATTTGGTCTCCCCAAGACCGTCGTCACTGACAATGGTCAAAGTCCTATTCTCTTACCGGGTTACCCCTCAGACTACCACTGGTATCTCTCCGGCTGAGCTACTCTTAGGGAGATTACCTCGCACTAGGCTTGATCTCCTCAAACCACATCTCGCAGAAAGGGTGGAAAGAAAACAGTTAGACCAGAAAGCTCGCCATGACCAGAAAGCGAGGTCACGTACATTTAGGGTCGGCGATAAGGTACATGTCTAAAATTTAAGTTCAGGTGACCGGTGGTTACCAGGGAAGATAGTGAGTTTGTCTGGACCAGTTTCGTTTGTTGTGGAACTGGTGGATGGCAGACGTAGGAGATGTCATCAGGACCACCTGAGAACCAGAGTAGTAGAAGACGGAGGTCCCGAGATGTCTTCGATGTCTCCAGACGAGACTCTTCCTGTAAGTTCCTCTGCCACACCCGGGGCTACTGAGAACACTCCTGTTACTGCAGTGGGAAATTCTCAACCTCCACCGGTTGATTCGAACATTTCGATCGATCCGCCTCGACCATCGAACAATTCGAACGATTCGTCGAATGCGACCGATTCATCCTTCGCGTCGACATCACCTCCGGAGGCAGCCGATTCTGCCCCGAACCGTTACCCCCTGCCGTCACAGGAAACCTACTGAAAGGTTCGAACCTGGAACGGCTTAATAACTAGATTTTGTGTATGCACATTTTTTACATTCGGTGTGTATTGTTTATAACTCGCACTTAATCTGTATTGTTTTGGTTTGTGTATGTCATTCATTGTGTATGTGTTCCTTGTTGTACTCACTAAGGAGGGAGGAATGTAGTAGACTCCTTGTTATGTCATTGTTATGTCATGTATCATTTCCGGTTCCTGTCTGTAACGTATATAAGTGCATGAAATCGTATGATGTGTGTCGAACCCATTACCGTGAAGTTACGACAAAGGTTGACCTCTCCACTGCTGCAGGAGGAGCAACTGCAGTCTAGTGAAGCTCTGGTGGCTGACTTCCAACATTGTCTACAGATCAAAGACTCAGAATTTGAGACTCTCAAGAGGAAGGTAAGGTGTCTGTACCGTGCTTACAACTGGGAACAAAACAGTTTGTGTATCCAAGAATCCCTGCAGCGTAGCTGTGTAGCTGCTTCAAACTGCTTTGCATGTAAATGCACATGTGTACACATGTGTGTGACACCAAAGTAAATCTTCGTACAAACTTGAACACTTCCCTCATTATGGTGTATAATACGAACTTGAACACCATTTTACTTCCCTCAATATGGTGTATAATACTATAATATTGTAGAGGATATAACAGCGAAGATCTTCTCTTCTTTTAACCATGCCTATTATAGCTGGCACTTGTTATACTTTACCCGCTGATTTTCACGTTGTACATCACAGACCTCATCAAAGGCAGATGGAGCTGACTCTGCAACACCAACAGTTATGCCACAATCCACCCCATCCCCAATGAGATCAAGAAAGGTTAGGTTTAAAGAGTGCTCTCTTTCATATATACTGAGAATGAGAATTTGCCTGTTGTATGGCTAAACCAATTGGGGCATATCTGATTTTTGGTCATATTGTGTGGAAAAACCTGGGAACAAAGCTAAGATTGAGGCTCATGCAGTTCTGAGGACTGAAAGAGGCTTATCAGAGTTGTGCCCTCTCTCTTGGGAGGGGAAAGGGGTGACCTCATTACAATTGCTGTTACATAGATCTTGGTTATACAGTGTTTTGTTTTTGCCGTTAGCTCACTGTGCAGTGTCGTACAAAGGAGACAGCCCCACAGCGGATGCTAAGAGGATCTGCAACATCCGACGGTCGATTTGCTTACTTCACACCTCACGAATCTCGCTCAATGTACAGATACGAATGGAGGACAGGAAAATGGGATGAGGTCGTATCCAGTTGTCCCGCACATGACTCTGGCATAGTGTTCGGTGACAATGAACTGATTTCTGTGGGAGGTGGGGCATTATTTCCAACTAGCAAGGTCCTGTCGCTGAAAGGGAAGGGATGGGAGGACAAATACCCTCCAATGAACACGGCCCGTTACTCTCCCGCTGTAGTCGCCACGCCTGAAGGCAATTACATGTACATCTTTGTCATTGGGGGCTACACTGGAAATGGACGCTCGACTACCGCAGTTGAACTGTTGCAAGTAAAGACTAGGAAATGGTACCGACTGGTAAATTTGCCGCAACCTCTCACTGCACCGTCAGCTGTGGTGTGCGGTGATACCCTGCATGTGATAGGGTACGAAGCTCAAGGCTACTCGTGCTCTCTGCGAGCTCTGCCGCCCAGTGATCAACCGATTCCACCACAGCTCATATCCTGGACACCTCTCCCTCCCCTACCAGTGACCCACTCGACGGCTGGCACTCTCGGTGGACAGCTTCTTCTTGTTGGTGGGAGGAAGGCCAGCTCGCCAACCAACTCCATTCACCAGCTGGTGGATGGAGAGTGGGTGGAGATTGCCTCCATGATTGGCGAGAGAGAGAAGTGTTTGGTCGTTAATATCTCACCGTTCAAGATGCTCATAGTTAGTGGAGTAAAAGCCTGGAATAATGTTGAAGAATGTGTCGTAACGATGTAAATAATACTGTTGTAAGTGATTGTCACCAGTATCATCTCGCGTGCTGTTGTGGGTGCTTTTATGATACTTATGATCAACATTGCAAATCTGAAAGCTACTATACTACCTAAAGGGTTGAATGGCAGTATTCACGTGCAGACACCTATAGAGTATCACATACACAGGAATAGTATAGCCCCCTACATAAGAATATAATGGTGGGTTCAGAGAGAGTGGCCTCCCTATATACATGACGTGCACAAGCCCCTTGCACATGATGCGATACACAGAGTTTTATAAGTGTGACAAGTAAATTAAAAATCCTGCGAATTAAAGAGGCATATTATATATAGGGATGGTATAAAAAGAAAGGGAGACAAGATAGGGATGGGATACAGAGAAGTAGTTTTAAAGAAAATTGCCTGAGGCTTTTCAAACAATGCGCATGGAAACATGTAATTCTCATAGAAATGATAATAATATAATAGACATGCATACCAAGTTTCATCTCTATGCGTGCTACCATTGGAAAGTTAGAGAAGTGAAGAAGGGAAAAGTGCCTGAGGCCATTTGTTGTTATTTACAAACATGTATAATTATATTGTTGTGATTTTGATGTTGGCTATAATTATATTGAATACATTGTGTATACAAACTTAACCTTCGTTCACGTAGCTCTTACCAATAATTTATTGTGAGTTACACTGACACATGTAGTATGCCCATTATAGTGGGGCACTTTTGTTGTTGTTTACAAACAAAAAAGTATGATGTTGCACATGTGGTTATCGATATATATGTATTATTCCTACAAAATTTCATGGCTTTATCTCTTTCGTTTTGAATTATGATGGTTGAAGAAGATGGTGATGAACAAAACTCCGTATCAAGCCCCATACATCTATGATACTAGGTACCATGCCCATCCCTATATACTAAGTACTATATACCGTACTTAGTGATATTATTATAGGAGTCCAGCAAAATTACAGCAAAAACCAAAGTGTGTTCATTTAGTCAACTGCCAGATAACTATATAGCAGGGGGGCTAACTATACTATAGCGAGACTAAGCTTCCTCCTCATCATCAGTTGTCTTATCTTTCTCTGTGTTGACATGGTAGCGACACGTGGGACATGTATCATGCTGTGAGAGAGAGAACAACGCAAGATAACCCAAGGTGCGGTCCCGTTGTACACAGGATAGTAGAGAAGAGTAGACCTACCAGCTTGAGCCATGGTATGATGCAGTTCTCGTGGAAGAGATGTTTGCATGGCAGTCTCCTAAGCTTGTCCCCAACCTTGAATGCATCTTTACACACCGTGCAGCCATCCACATCTGTTGGAGAGAGAGAGAGAGAACAGGTATATATATAACAAAAGAAGAGGAAGGGCCCGTTTGTGGATGTGAATCATCAGCACATACCATGGTTCATTGTAATGAATTCTTTGAATACCCTGTAACAACACACTACATTTTATGGCTTGGCCAGGTGGTGACAACGAGTCTGTGGGCACTGTGGAGGCACTCCACTCAAATACAGGGCTCTCTCAGGAAGGAAAGTTCAGGTGACATCCATTGGGAATGGTAATCATAAACTAATTGGGTATCACACATGAATTTTTACCATGTCCTGCCTCCTCCGAGGTAACGTATCAGACACCAGCACTACAAACAATTGGGTGTGCATTATTTAGGTGCCATGTATATACAATATTACAATACTCGATCATTATAATACTGTGTTCAACAGTGAAATCCCAGAATCTGATTGGAGTAAGTATACCTACAGTGGTCCACTTACTTTCGTTTACAGTCTCCTGCGTGGCGTCCACCACAGGAATGGCGTCCACCTTGTCCTTCTTGGCCGGGGGAGGTCCGCGGTCAGACATGCTCTCCAGGAGGCCGGAGATGATGGAGTCCAGTCCTCTGGCTCCCCACACAAAGTCGGCTGGGTCACTGCTCTCTGTCTGGGCCCCTCCAGTCCTACATCATGCAGACACAACAGACATGGAGATTGGCACAAGGCAATCACTATAATTATTTCTGAATACAGAACTTCAGGGACCTTTTGTAACAGCCAAGAACTACGTTCAAAGAACTATACATTCTTTTTGCCACACGCTTAATGGTAAATCTTTTCTGTCATCCTGCAACAACCATATACCCTAGATGGGTATACTTCTCAAATCCAAGTAAAACTCTTGAGGTTGTCTATAGAGTGCTTTAGGAATATCTCCAACTTACAGTCCAACAAGAAGTTGCTGTCCTCTGCGAGTTTGGCCTGCACGACCTCTGCCTCCCTCTATTATCTTGGCCATGTACTCCTGGGCAAGACTGACACAAACAAAAACACACATGCACTGGCAATGCACATAGTGCCCAAAACATAATAGTATTGAGCTTTATGTATTTGTGTATTTCAAAGCTTCTATGTTAGCTAGCTAGAATGCACAGGAAAGTTCCGTTTGCTAGCAAAGGGATGAGAGCTCACTAGGTGAAGTTACGCGAGGTCTTTTGCTGGACCATGGTGGTCCGTATCGGTCCCCTTCGTCCCTCGTTGCGTGGACCGGCCTCGTCCAGGGAGGGGAAGAGGTTCATGGTGAGAGTGGGGTGCTCAGGATCTCCACCTGCCGACACCACCACCATGGGCTGGGCACTCAGACGACCTCCAGAGGGCCGCTCTGCCAGTCACACAGTCAGTCAATAAACACATTTTACTAACACACATCAGGCACCATCGGCAACAGTGTCTGAAGCACTGCTGGACTCAGGGTACTATATAGCTATAGTAAACCAGTACTTAACGGTAAATTACACATGGTGTGTAACAGGCAGGCAGGCAGACAGACAGACAGACAGACAGACAGACAGAGAGGCAGGCAGGCAGACAGACAGACAGGCAGACAGACAGAGCAAGCATTGCGTACACATGCACGTCGCAGGTTATGAATGACAAAGAAAGTGCAACAAACTGCCGTACGTTCCTCAGGCTCCTCCTCAGGCTCCTCCTCAGGCTCCTCCTCCTCTGGAGGTTGAGGCGGCTCCTTCTTCTCAGTCTTCACATCGGAGAGATACGAGAGAAGATGAAGCAGTATTATACCACAGTGATACGGTCAACAGTACTATATATATATATATGACAGGTGGATGAGGGCTTGTATACAGTATATCACAACTCACACGCGAAACTGAAAGCTTTTCACCACAGCACATGTATACATACAATGCACAACAGTACAACAGTACGTACAGTCATGTATATAGGGGGAAGGATATTTGTACATGTATTTCCCTGTCAGGACATCGACAGGAGCAAGAATTCATCAATATGTACCAGTCCTACGAATGTGTGTGTGTATAATGCCTCAGATCCCTCCCCCATAAATGTGCAGTGCCGATGCAGATGAAACTATAACCCCACGCACTATATACCAAAACTGGCATAATGGTCTTCACGGATGTGACACTAGGAGATGGCAACTGTAGCAAACCTCTTGTTCCATAGGTTCAGGAGGTGGCTTGACATCCTCTCCACTGGTGGCTTCACTCTTCTCCTCCATTGGCTTGGTGGACTCAGTGGCGGCAGCTGACTCGGTCTCCATTGGCTCCTCCTCTTTCTTCTGCTCTGCAACCGGTGGCTCCTCTGGTTTGGAGGTGGGGGCAGGTGCAGGTGGAGGAGGGGAGGGAGAAGGAGAAGGAGAAGGAGAAAGAGAGGGGGCCGGGGAAGACCTCCTCCTAGACCGCAAGCGGGAGAGGAGAGCAGAGTCACGCAGCCGGGCTGCTCGCTGGTGGGGATCCCTACATGGCAGGCAAGTGGGAAGCAATCATCAGAATAACATTGTAAATACATACACTGTGAAACGAGGAGATATTCATAGGGGATCCTCAAAGGGGGTGGGTCCAGTGGTCTACCATAGTAGCCACACCCTATTTCTCCTGGACTCTAAGAGTACACTGATACAAACAGGACAGTGTATATAGCACAACTCACTCAGCCAGGACCCACTCTATGAAGTCAGAGGAACACATGGTACAGTGGGTGGGGCGCTGCAGTGGGGCAAAGAAAGATGTGCTACTATCATTACATGAAGGGACCTGCGATAGTCTCCGTACGACACGGGTAGATGAACACATATACAACGACAATGGGTAGGGATGGAGGGAGACTCACGGGGGAAGTAGAGTTCATGGGGAGACTGAACTTCTGCTTGCACGAGTGGCAATAGAACCTCGGCAGGAACGGGTCCTTGGCTCTGAGGATGAGCTTCAGGAGGTCCACACCAAGTAGGTGGTTCGGGACAGTCATTTCTCCACCGCTAGGTCGCCAAACTTGGATCAAAACGCCAGGTCTCAAGTCGCCTTAGCTCATCGGGAATTCCCCGTGCAGTACTGTTAGTAGGCGTGACATTTCGCCCCATACTGCGCATGCGCAGTCAGGGCAACCAGCAGCTAGCTTTGATGGAACTGGAAGAAGTCACGGTTAGCCTTTTGTCCTAAACACCAGATCTCAGTGTATATGTATTTTGTGTAACTTGCTACAGGTGACTCTGCTGTTTTTTGCCAAGAGTCGTGAGCTGATAGGAGAGAGCCAGACATCAGTCAGTGTTCCCAGTGGCCCAGTGTCTGGAGCCAGGCTCTGGGGACACATACTCTCCCTCTACCCCAGGTCACACCTCTCTTTCTAACTATGATGTAATGTACATACATTAACAACTTCATAGAAGTGTGTCCCTTGACATTCAGACAGCTTTGTGTGATGTTACTCATATGCACCAAATGTACAATCATACTGTCCTGCTGCTCCTGCATGTGCAAGACAATGTTACTGGCTGTATGTATGCATTCATCAGATAGTGACCTCTGTTGTAGTAACGCCCACCTGGGAATAGCAAACTGTGTATATAGTGTCTCTGGACAGATTGTATACACTATCTATGGTCAGTGGTATAATTATACTCTGGACACAGGTTGCAGTCTCTGGGAGAGAGTGTGGTGTTGGCAGTGAATCAGGAGTACGTGGACAGAGAGCAGGTCCTCCACCTGAGACCTGGGGACGAGGTGGCTGTCATCCCTCCAATTAGTGGCGGCTAATTACAGGGGCAAACTAGGTATAAACAAATGCAGTTGAACCTCTGAACAATGGGCACGTTGGGACCAGGCATTTTGTCCTTTACAGGGAGGTTGTCCTCTCTTTAAAGGTATTACAAAAGTGAACACAAAGCGTGTCCTATTCAGAGTGCCCTTTCTACTGAGAGGTGTTGTCTCATGTGCACACTATACTCTCCAATAGTGGGGGGATGGCTAGGGAGGGGGATGATCTGGTGGTGATTAGTCCTGGGCCCATCTCTCAGCAAAACATTGTGGAATTTGTCACAAATCCTTCAGCTGGAGGCATAGCAGTCTTCATAGGTAATGAGATTATGTTACTGATGTATATGGGTACCTGTTGCATAAATATGTAACGTGGTCCTAGGTACAACAAGGGACAATTTTAAAGGTATGTGATGTGTGATGGACTGATTTACTTGTCAATTGCCACAGTGGCATATCTGTTCTCTAACGACTTCTTCAGGAGTGCTATAGTGCATTCATTGTCCAAGACAATGCTGTGTGCATGCTTTATCCATGGCCAAAAGCTACTCGTGCCACATGGTTTGCTCCCACCTCCTTTCTATTCACCACTGACTATAGTATGCCATAATTGCAGTGTTGCCAGGCTCCATTTTTTTATGTTAATGGATGGCTCGCTAATCTACAAAAATGTGTTATGATAAGCCTAGGTACCTCTTGAAAATCCGCCTACAAAATTGTTTTGCAGTTGGTGCTTAAAAGATGCATGGAACGTGAGGTGCACAAGTGTTTAAAATGGTGCTTTGAGGCGGAACTACGAGATATATATATTTTTGGTTCTGGAAAAACTGCACGTTACTAGGTAAGAAGGTTGTGAGACTGGAGTATGAGGCCTACACCTCCATGGCCATGAAGCAGCTACAGGAGCTCTGCTCCGACGTCAGGAGTAAGTGGCCTGTCTGCAAGATGGCCATAGTTCACAGGACAGGGTGAGTATTATAGCCAACTGCCTGTTCTGTACTTGGTTAAATTTTACCTGCACAAGTATTACTTGTATACACCCTACTACACATTTTTGCTACTAACATCTGTCTTGCAACAGCTCACCAAGGAAGCGCTACATATTATTTTATGTAAGAAAACAGCATTGACTATGGATTGTAGCTACATGCATGAAATACCACGGAGAACGCAGCTTAGAGCCATGACTGAATTGTATATACCAACAGAGTGGTTCCAGTATGTGAGGCCAGTGTGATGATTGCAGTGTCGACAGAGCACAGGAAGGAGGCTCTAGAAGCAGTCTCATACGCCATAGACCAAGTAAAAAGCACTGCTACAATATGGAAGAAGGTATTTTAACATTATTAACACGCATGATTGCCCCAATGTAACTATCTATTCTGATCAACAGGAAGTGTATGAAGATGAAGCTGAACAGTGGAAAGAGAATAAAGAATGTCTATGGCTGCAAGAAAATGTGTCTTGATCCCCTCGCTCATAAATCTGTTTTGGAAGCGCGTCACAGGTCATGCACAGCGGCGTGCACAGCGGCGTGCACATCGTGTGTTCGCCAAACACGCCCCCTTAGTCGTATACAACTCAGCAGTCAGCAGTTGCAATACCATAAAAAGCGTCGTGCTGCGTTGTGTGTGCTACAACCTGCAAATCTCAACGTACTGACTTCTTCACGAAAGACCAGCAGCTAACGATGTCTCAGTACAAGCTGACCTACTTCAACGGACGCGGACGTGCCGAGCTCATCCGCCTCATTCTCGCCCAGGCCGGCGTTCAGTACGAGGATCACCGTATTGCCGGGGAAGAGTGGCCCGAGCTGAAACCCACTACGCCCTTCGGCTGCCTCCCGATACTGGAGGTAGACGGCAAGACCCTTGGCGGTAGCGCTCCCATCGCCGTCTTCGTGGCTCAGCGACACGGACTAGCTGGAGCCAACGATTTCGAAAACGCCGAGATTGGCGGTATCATGGACTACATGTTCGATCTCATGCTGGGCTTCATGACCATGCACTTCGAGAAGGACGAGACACGCAAGGCCGCACTGAAGAAGAAGTTTGAAGAAGAGGACTGCCCAAAGAAATTGGCCGTGCTGGAGAAGAAAGTGACGAACGACGGTTGGCTCTACGGCTCCAAGGTCACCTACGTCGACCTCGCCTTCTTCAACTTTTCCGAGCGGTTTCCTAGCGAGGTCTTAGCCAAGCTCCCTGGACTAAAGGGTGTTATTGATAAGGTGGGGGCTCTGCCAAATATTGCAAAGTGGGTGAAGGACAGACCAGAAACGAAGTTCTAGACATCATAGGGACTTACTTTATAGACGAAAGATTTTTTTAGCCGCGCACCAATAATATCACGTTCGGCGCGCATGCTCATGCGCATGCAATCACCGACAGGGCCGGCCGCGTCATGGAGCGGGCAGACGCAATTGCGCAGGGTAATCCGGGGTTTAGACAGGGATGGTTGCTATCAAAGCTGTTCAAACGATAGCTTTGTTTCTAGGGGAGACGCTTTGTACAATAATGTTGGTGTAGAGTTTGGCTAATTGTCAACTACAAGAATGCTGCCGTCGCAGCTTGAACCTGAAGAATACTATGCTGCCGTCGCAGCTTGAACCTGAAGAATACTATGCTGCCGTCGCAGCTTGAACCTGAAGAATACTATAATTATAGTATATAGGCAAATGCAGGGCATTTCTGGCGAGCGGGAGCGAGCACACAATGACTGCATCTGCATGAGCTATCCCAGATCTTTACAACAACACTCACCACACACTGAGGTTAGCTTGCTCCCTAATAAGAGTTAGTGAGAATCACTCCCTAGGCCTTAAAACGTACTAGCAATAGTCTACGGGCCCATATCTACCTATACATGTCCCCCAAGACCTCATACCTTCAGTCGTCCACGCGAGAATTCGCTCATACGCGATTTCACGATGTTCGTGTCATCATCATCATCTTCTTCTTCTTCCCGCTATCTCCTTACCAGTACCAGTTCAAGCACTTACTTTTTCACTGAAGGTCTCCAATTTCGCCGGAGGTGTGCACGGACAGCAAGCTAGCGTTTCTTTCAGGCTTCAGTAGTCGTTCTGTCTGTCTGTGTCCGCGTGAGTTCTAGCACTACAGGCTACGAGGCGGCCAATGAGTGGCACCAACGGGTTGTGAACGGCGAGAAGATTGATACTAATGTGGCGATTTTCCTGAAACGACTGCGATATGGCGTGAAAAAATCTTACGCGAGCGATTCATCGCGCATGCGCGTATGTGGGTGTATCGTTTTGCCTGCGCATCTGCTAGATTCCGCGTGGTTATTTTAGTTGACCTTTGACGAGCAAGAGTCTCTCTCCTCAGCCATTGTTGATCTCTGTTCTCGATGGACAACAAATTGAGCAAGGTATGTCCGCAATGTTCATAATCGTACTGGGCTTACCGCGACCTGATCCGCTCGCTCTCAGAAAGTCACAACGAGTATCGACTCCCGCATGCTATCTACTACTGTAGCTAGCCCGTGTCAGACTCGCGACGTGAGCAGTATCGCGTATGCCCAGTTCGCCGAGGGTTTGCACTTTAGTGCTTTTCATTGTTACAGTTACTCTGATGTTCATAGGTATGTTGATATGACAAATTGAATGTAGTAGCTAATGGGGCTGCTAATGATCTACCGTAGTGACTAGCGGAGAAAGAAACGCTAGCTTGCTGAAAAATACCATCAGCAGTAGCACTTTCTAATGTCACAAGGCTATAAAACGGACATCTCACCTTCCCCTCGGTATTGTCGAAGAATCTCAACATTACACCACACTGTTGATTAACTGCAATATCTGTCGTTTCATCGATCTGAATGCTGAAAAATTGTGATTCTTTCAGGCGAGACAGGATACTTTGCTTTACCTCTTGTGCAACAACCTCTACAATAGCAGTTGCTTTCTTCTTTCCGCATTTAAACGACTTTGCTATTGCAGAGTCTGGAAACATACTGGCAAATAACTTCGCACTGTGATCAGCAACACTCAGTGGGATATGGTGCTCGCCCAAGAAGTAGGCAAATTTCACTTCAGCTTCAATGACAGACGGTTCCCGAGTGCATGAATGTAACATAAAATCCGTCCGAGTAAGAGCTAGGAAAAACGTAAATCCGAATACTCGGATAAAATCCGGAACTTTCACAACCCAGTAGATCATGGAGCTCTTTCATGGTCGACACTGAAGAACGCCATTTGCTGCTAACTCAGCACCAGTGAGCCGCGCACATGCGCCAGGCAGGGGCGTTGCTTCCGTGCGCATTGAGTTGGCAGACCTGCAGAGGAACTCTCAGCCTCTAGTACCTTCTGTAAGTAAGTGTGTACATTTCCAACTGGCTAGCTTGCTGTAGGTTTGCACGAAGAGCAACTTGCCAGAGTCTGCGCTGTGTTACGCGGGGCGCTCAGTCAAATGGGCCTTCAGGTTGTAGCCTGATTACCAAAGCCTGCCCGTGAAACCACAACCATGTGCAATAATCTAATTCCATCCTTGTTGAAGACAAAACATGAGGTATCTAGCCCATGCTTCAGGCACTAGCAGCCCCATTAGCTACTACATTCAATTTGTCATATCAACATACCTATGAACATCAGAGTAACTGTAACAATGAAAAGCACTAAAGTGCAAACCCTCGGCGAACTGGGCATACGCGATACTGCTCACGTCGCGAGTCTGACACGGGCTAGCTACAGTAGTAGATAGCATGCGGGAGTCGATACTCGTTGTGACTTTCTGAGAGCGAGCGGATCAGGTCGCGGTAAGCCCAGTACGATTATGAACATTGCGGACATACCTTGCTCAATTTGTTGTCCATCGAGAACAGAGATCAACAATGGCTGAGGAGAGAGACTCTTGCTCGTCAAAGGTCAACTAAAATAACCACGCGGAATCTAGCAGATGCGCAGGCAAAACGATACACCCACATACGCGCATGCGCGATGAATCGCTCGCGTAAGATTTTTTCACGCCATATCGCAGTCGTTTCAGGAAAATCGCCACATTAGTATCAATCTTCTCGCCGTTCACAACCCGTTGGTGCCACTCATTGGCCGCCTCGTAGCCTGTAGTGCTAGAACTCACGCGGACACAGACAGACAGAACGACTACTGTAACCCTCGCTGCGCATGCGCGCCGAGGGTTAATAAATGCAGTGTTGTCATTAGCTGTTAAAAATAGTGGAATCAAGTGGAAAATCATTTCTTCAAAATGAAAGGGGGATATAGGGATGGCCTGAAGCACCAAAAAGGAAGAAACAAGGGGTCATTACACAGCAAAGTTGCACAAAGCTACATGACACCATCCCCATATCTTTGTTCGATATTAAACTTTGCTTATAAACAATAAAACAAAGATATAGGGATGGTGTCATGTAGCTTTGTGCAACTTTGCTGTGTAATGACCTCTTGTTTCTTCCTTTTTGGTGCTTCAAGCCATCCCTATATCCCCCATAGAGAGATACAGTACATTCTGTCCAGTTTGAAAGTATTCACATGTAGTCTACTGCAAGGAAACTGTATGGTATAAGATAAGTGTCTGACTGCATATTTGGGGATAGTAGCCACATAGATTAGACCATTGGTTAAAACTTAATTTCTAAATTGTCTCCTTTTTATAGGATGATCCCACTAGGCATAGGAGAAATAAGGCTTCACTGGGATGTGTACCACATGCTCCGCCCAACACTGGAAGAGGCGGTTGTGGTAGTGTGGATGAAAGCAATAGCTCAACAAAAGCCACTGTACTTTGGTCTTCAATAATGGACAGACTGACCTAGCTTTATCCATTTTGGTCACATCTCAAAGTAGCTAACAGTTCATTAGTCATAATACAGAGTAAGAAGAATCCTCTATCTGAATCCCATGTGTTTTTCAACTTCAGTCCCAGCTCAAGGGCAGCAACACCCTCAACATAACAGTGTCTGGAAAATAATTGTACGTATCAACACCCGGCCACATTCCTTTACTGAAAACCTAATAGCTATAATATAGCTATACTTCACATCGTCCAGTTGCAGATAGCTAGATACAAAGAGGGTAAAGAACCATGGACACCAATAGGTTGCATTAAAGAATGAAGGAAACAAGTAATGCAGAGCATATAGAGAACTTACAGAGCACTACAACATACTGAACTGATTTTTATTTCCTTGTACTGAGAATTCATTGAAATTGAGGAAAGTACCTATACTTACAACATAGCTACTGAACTGATTCTTATTTCCTTGTCCTGAGAATTCGAGGAAAGTACCCATGAAAGTCTATCAGTACCACACAGATGACTTAAAATTGATTATGAAGAAAACCTCGAAGGGGATTATATTCTTCTTTTGCATACTTCATACCAAACCTAATCGGTCAATGCGAGAAGGTATGCATGTATCTGCTACCTCTGACACAGGGACAAGTATTATAAGCAGGTGAGATCGAGGCAATTATGATTATTAATCAAGAATGGGGTTATCATTCTGTATCAGGTACATCCATACACCCATGTTAATTGCAGTAAAATTAATGTTATACTGTTATAGGCAAGACAAAGCAGGTGATATAATGGTCTACACAATAATGACTGCTGCCTCATTTGTACTTGGACGTACATCCATGAATCACGGGGTGCCATGTATATACACAGGGCAAATGCATATCAACATGTCATCACATGATAGCCCCCCACTGGGCACTGTTGTGGACTACGACAGAGTGTGAATGGGGAATGTAACAACTTCATCATCAGCCACACCCTTGTGTATGCGAAAAAATGAAACCTATTAATGCACTTTTGTCAGGTTGCATCTAAGTTCAAAAATACCCCAAGGTCAAGATTGAAGGAAACTCTAATTCTCTAACATAGAGGTGCTTCTTTGCATACGGAGCAAATAAGAAAATACATCGCATAGAGAGGACTTCGATTCCTTCCTTTTTAGTATATAGGAATGTAGGAAACGAACACTGTTTCCTCACTGACTTATATACAACCTAATGGAGTAACTGCAGCACATTATACAGGATTGGTCTTCCTCTATAATAATGAACTGGCAAAGGTATTGTGCAATGAAATTGCATTTCCTACTTGAACTGAGGAAAGGAATTTCATTAATGTGAAACCTTGCTTTAGTAGCATTTTACACATTCCTCTCTGGTGGTCACCACCATATTATGCAGAAACCTTAGCAGTGCTGGAGTGTGCGGCTAGTGGGTATAAAAAGGCAGGCCCACATGCAGGCCCAACACCGCTTCTTCTGGCACCCAACAAGAACCCTTCGCTACTCATTGTGATGGATTACGCAAGAGCTGTCACAATCGTCGTGCTGGTTGTATCCTCCGGCCTAGTGTCTTGCACCGCTCAGTTACACTACTCAAGATCCTCTTCAAACTCGTTCAAAGTAAGTTGGAAGACACTTTGTATTTATTATCTCTGTCCTTACCATCTAGGATGACCAAGTGTGTGAATACAAGTACTCAATGGAAATGGGTCAGTTCAGACACATGGATAAGCCCATCAGTATCGAGGCAAACGTCGAGATCATATGTGAATCAAGTAAGACTCCCTAACATAACTTGTAGTATATAATAATTGCTGTAGAACTACATAGAACAAATGCAATGCGTGTGCGCATACTCTGAATGGAGATTACGTAATTTTTTGTATGCATTCATGAACAAATCCCTTTTCTGTGCACTCTCACTGTTACTATGTGTATATAACAATGTCTTGCGAGCTGTCACATTAACTGGTGGACTAATGTCTGTTAGGTGGTTTCTACGGACCTAACACAGCCACCAGATACTGCATGACAGTGACAGATGTCAGAGGAAGTTTCCTCAATTTCACCGAAAACGGAGCAACTGAACCTGAACATTATGAGTGAGTTACGTTTATGCACAATAGTACAAGTACTGTACTGTGGAGAACATTATGGAATGTTGACATTCACTTTCTTCTTTCTTACAGAATGATGAAAAATTATACTGTAGAATATCTTTCGGGAGTGTTCTGCTTTGTTCAGACCAGCGATGGTAAAGTTGTTTCAGTGTTTCACCCACGCACCGAGGACGCCAAAGTCACCAACTTCAAGAAAGGGATTGCTTCAGCTTTTCAAACGAATTTCAAAGGAACTGGTCAAGAGATAGAGACTGATCCTCAATCACAACATCACTCCCATTACAGGTGGGAGCTTTTTGCTCTCATAATGGTGTTGAATATCAATATGCACTCTATTGTACAGTTATTCAGCTGGGCAAGGAGGGAAAAGCAAAATTCACCGTACAGTCACGAGCGAAGATGTCTTGGAATATTCAAGTGGTGTACACACGAGAGATGTTCAGTTGCGGGAAGAAGACGACATTGAATACAGGGATGGTAGATTGTTCAGGTCCAGTGGAAACATGTACCTATCAGTAGACAAAGAAACACACAGCAGTGGCCAAGGATCGGGAGGAATGGATGAATTTGCTGATGTTGTTACAGCTCGTGGATCATTTGATATGGAACTAAATGAGTGTAGAACTGTTCGGCAGACAAGAAGGAGGAGAGCAGTCCAGCAACATCTTGACGGAAGATTTTCATTGGAAGAGGGTCTTATGGCCACATATGATGAGAGTAAGTGCATTCATCACACTGGTCCAGCTACACGTCACTTATAATGTCCTTTTGCAGGCAAAGTTGAGATTGAGACACTGGAGAATCTTCGCCAGAATTTTAAAACTTCCGAACAAGTCACTAGGGCTCTGCGAAACACTAACAGCAGCAAAACATGTACGTTTCATTGACACAATAGTTGTGTTTCTAGGGATGTTAGGTGCCATCCGAGAAATGAGAAGGTGTGGCCCTGGCAGACTAGCCTAAGTATAAGAATTATGCACTTTAATATTTCTACCAGCTACGATCCATAGCAGACAGGCCACTTTTTTACCTACAGCTACACATACCAACATGCACATTAATGGTGCTGAGGGTTTGTATATACTTCAGGGCCTTCCTCCTTAGTAGTGGCATGCATACTCTCATACCATACCTGTAACCCCCTTTTCAGTCAGCATGTTGGAGAAGGTAATGGTCCTTGAGCGGAAATATAGACCTGAAGGGGTGTCTGTGACGCAGATTGTGTTAAACTATCTGAGGAAGGTAACGTTGTATATGTACATAGCTAGATAGAATTACTAGCACGAGACATTCATCTATTAGATAAAGACATTGGAACCGGAGGAGTATGTGGCACAGCGAGTGAATATCTATTCTCTACTCAGTTCAGAAGGAAGCAGAAGGGCAGAAACTGTAAGTAGCTCGCTATCAGAGAGTAGACTCTTATGATCTATGGACAACAATAAACATAGCATCACTTTATGGGTAACCGTATTTTCTCCTACTCATTTAAAGCCTGTTTTATGGGGACATGTAGATAACCTCTTCATTGTCCTACAGGCATTGATTGAGCAACTTGATGAGACAGATCTGTCTGATGCAGAAAGGAGGGTAGTCATGCTAGCTATTGCTTTACTACCAACACCCAGTTCTCAAGTGATCCAAACAATAGAAGACACGATTACTGAAACAACGTCATCGTTGCTACTGGTGTATGGGTCACTGGTGGCTAATGCTGCTCCTGACCAGGAAATGAAGATGGTGACATTTCTCACCGATCGACTTACCGAAAACAACACTGATACTCTCATTCATGTTTTGCATGCGCTTGGAAACACAAAATCATCACTGGCAATTGAGCACATAATACCCTATGTCCATTACCACGACAAAGATGTTAGACTGACTGCTGTGAGCGCACTGAGGTTTTTTACCGGGCTGCCAATTGTTCAGCAAGAGTTTGTCAGCATTCTTCACAAGGAGAGCTCAGATTATTTGGTGGAAGCAATCATCCAAGCTCTAGGTAATGGATATAACTACGACGAAGACATTGAGTTGGACTCGGACCTCGTTCGGTGTTTAGTTCAGGTTACTAATGATCTGAGGAACAACGATCTTCAAAACGAACTAAATCATCTTTTTAATAAGATGGGTGTACCAACTTCAAGTTCAGCAGATTTAATGGATAATAGAAACATGAGTCGCCAAAGGCGAGACACACAAAGATGGGATTCTACTGCTTCGGAGTACAACATAATTGCTTCAGCATCTCAAAGAGCTAATGATGTCGCTAATTATCCATATCACCGAGGCTATCTGTGGAGCACCACCATAGGACAGAATAGTGGAGAATACCCAATCTACCTTCAGGCAGCAGCTGGGCTTTTTGCCGGTGCTAACATTGACCAGTGTGACTTAAAGATGTTTGGAAAGGCTATCGTGGATGTTCATGTACTAGGTCGTGAAAGCAATATCCTGACGATTGAGGGAAGAAATGATAGAATATACGTCTTGTTTGCTGGAGATATTGTGTTTGACATCAACCCACCTGACTCCTACAGCAACCAACTCCCAGGCTACCAGAGACTACTGTTTTCAACCTCCTATACATTCTATGTGTATGGAGTACCCATTACTCTTGGGTTCGATGTGCATGTTAGCATTGGAACCAATATAGACATTTCTGTTCAACAAGGTGTGAGCAACGACATTGAAGCAAGTGCAACAATAGCACCATATGTTTCAGCAAGTTTTGATGGCAGTCTAACTATCTCAGCTCTGGTATGTTCCAGTGGCATTAATTTTACACACATTATTGCAATCTCTACTCTCTGTTTTTAGGTTGCTCAGGTTGGAGTGAGTGTAACGGCCTCCATTCCTTATGGTATCACGTTGCGTGCTACTTTTCATGTGTGTACTCCTGCAGATTCAGATGTAAACAACTTTGCATGTGTGGAAGCTAGTCATGGGTGGCAAGAGATCGATATAACATTTGCTGCCTTTTATCAACTACCTGACATTTTTTCTGTGAGTTTAATGAGTAACGTCTACATTAAACTGACATTCATAATATTTCTTTGTAGTTTGGATATGGAGACCAAATCAGATGGGATTCTCTCACTTTTACTTACACCATCCCTGCAGAGCAGGGGAAGACAATTTATTCTGACTGTGCCGTTGCTAGTCCAGCTACAAGAGTACCACCTACAAGTGTAGTCACAAGTGCAGCTTCAACCGAGCCCGCAAGTGCTGCTTCAACTGACCCCACAAGTGGAGCTGCAGCCTCAAGTGCTGTAGCCACTCTGATGCCTCCATTTATTGTTTCTTTCCTGCTCATGTTTCCTTTATTGGTTTACCTAGGCTGAGTTGCAAGTGACAAAAATGAGTTGACACAATAGTAGTATTAGTGGTTAGCAATTTTCAATGAACATGTATAAATTTGCAACCCCAACCTGTAGATAACATCACATGTATATGTAACATACGCAATGTCCATTATTTTATCTGACAATGCTGTTAAACTTGACAATACACATGCATGAGCACCGCATATATAGCACCAGTGGTTAAAGAGATTTCTGCTGGGAGAGGTTCACTACCAGCAGAGTCACTATACACTGGTGTAACCAGAAGAGGAATTGTTGGAGGGTGGGTATATAAGGGAAAGTCAGTCATCGGCTGCCTTGTAGCCTATAGTGCCGGAATAGCTGCAGACACACATAGACAAGTCCCCTCACCGCACATGCGTGCCAAGGGTACCGAAAGTTAATCATGGCTGCTTGGCTCACATTGCTGAGATCACCTCTAACCCTGGTAAGGCGGCATGACACGGGCCACCAGCATTATAGCTAACCCCTGTCAATGACTTTGCAAATGAATGTCCAAACCTCAACCTAAAGTGTGAAAATGTACTTCTTACCAGGCTGGCTCATGAGGAGGATGGTCCTGGCTCTCTCCTTCCTTAGTGCATAGCTGATTCGAATCGACCAATCAGATTTGTTAGTACGAGGTTCCTGATTTCTCATATGAACCTCGTGAGCTAACAAAAGTAACATGAAAACATGATATGAAACCTTGTTTTTTCTGTTGATTTTCAACAAGTTCAACAGCATTTCATGTAGGAAATGTATCCCGCAAAACATGATCTGTACAAAATGTTGATCAAAATAACTGATATCTTGATTTTCTTTTTCCACGAGAGTTTTCTGTGTCTGCTTTGAGCCCATCTCCTTCCTTGCCATGTACATATAGATAGCCAGGCAGCTCACGCCCGCCCACAAACCACCGCACGCAAATAAGGGGGTGGGGCTCCGCGAGCGAGTGCGCACGACAAAGCTACTAAGTCTACGGCGAACGCCTTCGGTATAGCAGCCCGCACAGCGCCTGAATTCTCCACTCTCGCCTCTCTCTGATTGCGATGGTTCGCGCAGGTCTCCTGTCGCGTTTCTTCGGATGAGTGGCGGAGGACAGTCCCACAGCGGGAGTAGCTAGAGCGGCGGAGCAGCGTATCCTAGCGTTCGGCGTTCAATAGTCCCGCACGGGATGACGGTCTTGCGCTCTCGTCTCTTTCTCGCATCTTTCAAATTCCCTGTGCTTGGAAACGCAGTGCGCGTATACGGAGCTGATTTGCTCTGCACTAAATATAGGTTAGATGCGGAGCCGAGGTGACTACGCGTGGTAGAGTGCCGAGGGCTCCCGACATACTCATGCTCGCCGCGAGCCAATCCTCGGACGCTCTGGAAAGATACGTGCGCGTAGAGTGGACGGAGCCCTTTTCCGCAAAGCGCGGCGGACGACGAGGGAATGCTGTAGCTTTAGCCTACCGTTTCTGGCTCGCCGCTGGTAGCTGAAACCTCGCTCGAGTCTCTTACCTATCACGTCTTCACGCTCGCTCCCCAATAGATCCCGTCGTCCGGGGCAGCGGGATCTACGGAAAATAGATCCCGCGTTTGGACCAATGAAATTGCGCGATTTCAAATCACCGGGATCTAAATATAGGTTAGATGCGGAGCCGAGGTGACTACGCGTGGTAGAGTGCCGAGGGCTCCCGAGCTGTCGGCGTCCCGAGCGCAGCGAGGGCGCTACTAGGGAGCCCGAGGCACTCTACCACGCGTAGTTACCGTGGCGACGCGTCTAACCAGTTTAGATCCATTCAACCTGTTTGCGAAGATATGGCAGCGCCAGGCGAGCTGTTACTATCTTGTCTAGACCAGGAAGACTCCGAGAAGGAACTCGACATACTCATGCTCGCCGCGAGCCAATCCTCGAACGCTCTGGAAAGATACGTGCGCGTAGAGTGGGCGGAGCCCTTTTCCGCGAAGCGCGGCGGACGACGAGGGAATGCTGTAGCTTTAGCCTACCGTTTCTGGCTCGCCGCTGGTAGCTGAAACCTCGCTCGAGTCTCTTACCTATCACGTCTTCACGCTCGCTCCCCAATAGATCCCGTCGTCCGGGGCAGCGGGATCTACGGAAAATAGATCCCGCGTTTGGACCAATGAAATTGCGCGATTTCAAATCACCGGGATCTAAACATGTTATGTACTCCGTATACTCGGGACATACCGGATTTCAATGAACCCTCGGGACACTACAAAGCGGAGGCCCTCGGGTTCATTGAAATCCGGTATGTCCCTCGCACGTAGTACATAACATATATTTAGTGCATAGCTGATTCGAATCTACCAATCAGATTTGTTAGTACGAGGTTCCTGATTTCTCATATGAACCTCGTGAGCTAACAAAAGTAACATGAAAACATGATATGAAACCTTGTTTTTTCTGTTGATTTTCAACAAGTTCAACAGCATTTCATGTAAGAAATGTATCCCGCAAAACATGATCTGTACAAAATGTTGATCAAAATAACTGATATCTTGATTTTCTTTTTCCACGAGACAGTTTTCTGTGTCTGCTTTGAGCCCATCTCCCTCCTTGCCATGTATATACATATTAGATAGCCAGGCAGCTCACGCCCGCCACAAACCACCGCACGCAAATAAGGGGGTGGGGCTCCGCGAGGGAGTGCGCGCGACAAAGCTAGTAAGTCGACGGCGAACGCCTTCGGTATAGCAGCCCGCACAGCGCCTGAATTAACCTCTCTCTGATTGCGATGGTTCGCGCAGGTCTCCTTCGCGTTTCTTCGGATGAGTGGCGGAGGACAGTCCCGCAGCGGGAGTAGCTAGAGCGGCGGAGCAGCGTATCCTAGCGTTCGGCGTTCAATAGTCCCGCACGAGATGACGGTCTTGCGCTCTCGTCTCTTTCTCGCATCTTTCAAATTCCCTGTGCTTGGAAACGCAGTGCGCGTATACGGAGCTGATTTGCTCTGCACTAAACATGTTATGTACTCCGTATACTCGGGACATACCGGATTTCAATGAACCCTCGTGCCATCCGCGTAGTGCCCTCGCTGCGCTCGGGACACTACAAACGCGGAGGCCCTCGGGTTCATTGAAATCCGGTATGTCCCTCGCACGTAGTATATAACATATATTTAGAAAATGCATCAAGAAGTCAGTGGAAGCTCAGCTGTGTCCTCAAGTGCCCTAAAACCCTTGTGCTTTTTACTGAATGTTCACATCATTTTGTGTCGCAGCGGATCAAAATTATTTTGCCACAGAAAGCATTTCGTACAGCACTACAGCACTAGTTGCTAATAAGTGTCTTGATTCAGTAATGTAGTTACTACATTAACGTCCAAATTCATTAGCAAAGTCGACGAGGATGGGTTCGACATCACCAGCAGGTATTTCTTCACACTTGCAGACGCTGAGTTGACCGTACTGATCGACCTCGTAAAACTCGGATGGCAGTGAGATGGTCTGGATGTGTGCTTTCGCTGCCTGGTTGTCCACTGCTCGCCTTTGCCGCACTTTTCTTCCTCCCCTTTCTACTTCAGCAAGAAGATAACAGCCGCAGTTAGCACTAAGGCCTTCATCATCTACGGCTTGATATGCAAAATTGGGTGATCCATCATCTTGTTTCCTTGCTTTGAAGATAAGGCTGGTAGAGACAGATGGCGCTGGTTTTGCATCTTGCTGCATTGTTTCGTATCGCCTGGGTTTCACTGGTTGCCTGGAAGACAGGTAGGCAAACAGGTTTTCTTGGCTGTAGAATGGAGGTGGTTGAGGGTAGGCGACTGCAGCTTGCAGGAAACAGCAGGCCAAGAGGGTTGCAGCAAGAGCAATCTTCATCTTCGTTTCTGGATTCCTCTGGTTTGCTGCAGATTCTATGCGAGCTGGCTTAGTAGCTTTATTTTGATTCGTCGAAACCAAACTTTATAGCCGCTCCAAATCCAAAGTTGGCATGTAAGCCCAAGTAGCCCTTTCTTGGGGTTATGATGAAAGCATCACCTCTGCCTTTGCCAATTTCGTGGGTGAATACAACAGCATTCCAGTCTGAACATGACTCAGACATTACACTTTTTCTGTAATGGTTTTTAATACCTTAAAGCATGATAATTCACTTGCACAAAATACCTATAATTCCTACAAAAGAAGATTCCTTATTGAAGCCTGTTACGTCAACTTACGCAGTTTCTTTGCTCTTTTGCTAGAAGCAAAACGTTTAGTTATCATGAAAGCATTACCTTTGCCTTTACCAGATAAATGCAAAAGCATTCCAGTCTGAACGTTACTTAGAGATGAGAAGTGTGTTTCCTTTTGTGTGCGGCATACTTAGGTAACAAGTAATACATAAAAGACTAACACAAAATGCTTATAATTTCCACAGGCACTTTAATCCATGGTTGCCAACTCACACTTTCCCATGAGAGTGTGCAGATCTTAGATACTTTGTGCAAAGCCACACCCTAATTCTTCAACCAAACACATTTGCTTAGCAGCATGTTCACCTATTATAGCTATGTGCTTGCTATAATTTGTTGTCTACAGATTCTCAGCTGCTACTTGCATGAATATGAGGCTCTTCATAATATTTCAATTAAAGTTATAGTGACACATGTGAATCAAGCAACGGCAATGATCACATACACACAGTCACATAATCACCATGACAAGCACCCCATATGGAGGCCGATATTTTAAGAGCCACACAACAGGACTCATAAGGGCATATATAAGCGCTGGCATGGAGCTCACTGGGCTACCTCATATTTATGGAAATAATATTATAGCTACAAGAATAATATGGAAAGACCAACAACCAGCACTGAGTACTTGGGGTTGCCTTTGTCGGCCGGTGTAGGGCTGCCTTCTGCGCTCCCCTAGTAGCTCAGTGGGCGGTCAGAGAACTCTATAGAAATCAGACCGACGTGGGTTTTATATAATGAGAGTCCCAACCAGGGCTGCCTTACCTCTCTATGTTTAGCTGTGATTTAATTAAGATTTATGCAGTCAACAAATAAAAGGTAACTGTTCCTTAACCTCCTTCTGCGTTCCTCGTTGTTCCACAAGGTGTTTTATTTTTCCAGAGCAGTGTGTTTCATGCACGAAACCCAAAGATATGGCAATAGTAGTATATATCTGTGTGTTGGAGGATACAGTAGTATGGTATCTGGGTGTTCTGAGTATAATATGCAGTAATAATAATATGGTATCTGTGTTTGATTAACAGCGATTAGTACAGCTCTCAAACACACAGATTAATACTATATCTGTGTGTTTGAAAGCTGAACAGCATTACACATAATATTATCTTCCATTGCGTATATAGCACAAGAGGGTTGTATTATTGAATCACTACATACATACAAAATATGTACAACTACAATGGACTGTGTACCAACTAGTAGTCTTTCACTACCATCTAGCTACTTATTGTTACTTGAAGATTGGGCCCTCAGGAGCGGCTATGGCACAAGATCCAGAAAGAATTTGCCATCCTCGGGCGGTACAAAATAGCAATTGCAGATATTGAGTTTTCCGTACTGGTCTAGCTCGTAAAATGTGTAGGGCAGCACTTCTTGCTGGATGTGAGCCCTTGCCGTCTGCAAATCTCGCTTTTGCCGCATTTCCTCTTCCGTATCGTCGACCGAGGCAATAACCCAGCAGCCACAGAGCCCGAAATTTCCCTCTCTATCAATGGAGCTATACACGAAGTTGGCTTGTCCCTCTTGCTGTGGGTGGGCTTTGAGAACTTGGCTCGAAGGAGCAGGTGCATTCGGCTCTATGTCTTGCAGCACTGGTTGGTTACGCTGCAGTTTCGCCTGTTTGGAAGAAAGGTAGGCGTGTAGGTTGTCAGGGCTGTAAGGGCCAGAGCGGGCCACAGCAGCTTCCAGAAGACAGCAGGCAAAGAAAGTGACAGCAAGGGCAATCTTCATCCTCGGTCCTTACTCTGCTGGTTTATGGCAGAACTTCAGTTAAGTTTTTGAGTTTATGAGTGTCAGTCTTATACCACTGCTTTTATAGCCACTGCAGATATAACACTTGGCATCCTTGCACAACACAAAGCAATTACCCTGAATCGCTTCAAATGTGGTTGGAATGCTATCTGGCTCTTTCCAATTATGTTGTGGCCATAACAGTATTGATTAAGCAAAGAAAGATGAAATAGGCTAGGGAGACAAAAGCATTCTTCCTTGATGTGCAGAAGGCATACGATACTGTGTGGCAAACAGCCTGTGGTAAGTAGCTACGCCAGCTTGTATGTAGCGCATTATGTCGTATTATGCGCCTTTCGTGCATAACTATTATTCTGTAATCATGCGTTGCTAAAACGCATACGTCGCCGCAAATAGCGCTAAGAGTGTGTATTAATCAAATTTTAGTAGCAGCAGATATTTTGCCCCCAAGACTTGCTTAGGTGCTTGATTTAAAACCTGCTCTTGCTCTTGTGGTAGTATCTATTCCAGAGATATGCAGATATTCAAAAAGTGCATAAATAAAGCATACCTAGTTTCTTAGCATAGGTGCATATAGTGCATATTTCCAACATGGAAATGCGCTGTGAATTGTCGCATATGTCCAGGTTATAAGATCCAGGTTACCTACTGGTCTTGGGTTTAAGTGCTAGCCACTCATTTCCCTCTTATTTTCTCTTTGCACCTTTGTTTGGTATGTACATGAATCATCATAATGAAAAGCACTACAGTGCAAACCCTCAGCGAACTGCGCATGCACGGTACCGCTAATTGATGGGCTGGGCTTCTTGGTTGTCTCCCGCTAGTAGCTCGCGGAGCACGGGCTAGCTTCAGTAGTAGATAGCATGCGGGAGTCGATACACGCCCTTCGTTGTGACTTCTTGTGCCTTCAAGATACGCAGAGCAAGCTGGCCCGGTGTAGCGGTATAATCCCCCCGAATTTTTATCCGGCCGCGGATAGGATATCTATCCACCCCCCCCGGATAAAATCTCCTAGGATATTCTATCCCCACCCGGGATATTTATACCCCGAGCTGTGCGTTATTAGGAGTGTCGAAACGCAGGCGGTGTGTTGTTTTGAGGTTCTGAGCTCTATTAAGGGAATTTCAACGTTACAAAATGCGATGACAGCGTTGTTTGGAGTTACAGTATTATTGAAGGCTGTTCGTTGAAGGGCTGGACGCGGCCGCGACCCGCGCAACCACTGAGTGTCTCGACGAGAAGACTGAGGGATAAAATATCCGGACACCGGATATTCCACACTAAGAGTATACTATCCTCACGGATAGAATATACTATCCCCAGGATAAAATATACGGAGGATAAAATATACTGTGACACCGGTCCACGCAACGAGGGACGAAGCCGAAGGGGACCAATACGAACCACCATAGTCCAGCAAAAGACCTCGCGTAACTTCCACCTAGTGAGCACTAGCAAACGGAACTTTCCTCAACGCGCTAATTGAAATTCTTGTACTATTCACGTGACCGTGTCCGACCTCCTCTCTCTCTCTGTAGCTGTGTGGGGATGGATGAGGCGCTAGGTAGGTGCATGTGTCTACGTAGTCGGTGGTATGCGATTTGCCCCGCCTCGGTGCCGCCCCTACGATCGGCGCATGCGCATTCCAACCGCGCACGCACACACATGCACACGTCTATATAACTGGGTGTCCTGCTCGCATCCCTCCATTGTCGTCTTTCGGAGTCTTGTCTACCGAAAGAGAAACGATGCCTCACTACAAGCTCTACTATTTCAACTCACGCGGGAACGCGGAGGTGGTTCGCCTCGTGTTCGCGCAGGCAGGAGTGGAGTACGAGGACATTCGCCTCACGTCTGAGCAATGGGCCGAGTTCAAACCTAAGACACCGTATGGCTTCGTGCCAGTGCTGGACATCGACGGGAAACTGATAGGCGGTTCCATGCCTATCGCACGCTATCTGGCTCGGCAGTTCGGACTAGCTGGAGAGGATGACATGGCCAGGCTCATCCTGGAGAGTGCCGAGGATGCCATCGACGACTTCAAAGGAAAGATGTCCGCTATGTATTTCGAGAAAGACGAAGAGAAAAAGGCGACGCTGAGAAAGGATTTGCAAGAAAACATCACACCAAAGAGTTTCGGTGCGTTGGAAAAGCTGGCTGCTTCCAACACTGCCACCAGCGATGGTTGGTTTTACGGGGCCAAGGTATCCTATGTCGATTTCCTCTTCACCCATACCGTGGAATACATTCAACAAGAAGCTCCTAATGTCCTCGATAACTTCCCGACCTTGAAGAAGCTGACAGAGAACGTTAGGAAACTCCCCAACATTGCCAAGTGGCTCAAGGAGAGACCTCAAACTCAACATTAAAAAAACTTGGAGATGAACAGCAATCAAAATAGCCACATTTACGATTTAGCTATATTATAATTATTATGTAGAATTGATAATGCCAAACATTCTTGGTTGACTGGGAAGCAGAATAGGTCAGCGAAAAAATAATTCTATCACACTACTCACCATCCTCCCTCTTTGTAATTTCACCACTGAAGAAGGCTGTATATAGCTCTTCAGCCGAAACGTTTGGTGTTCAGTGACTGGTGTGATAGAATTATTTTTTCGCTGACCTATTATGTAGAATTGTTTTGTTCATGAATTTAGCCACAACTTCAACTTCACTACGTGCTTTCCATAGGCTCTAGCACTGTAAGAAAGGTCACTCTCAACTGCAGTGGAGAAGTGATGCCCATTAACCACACATGTCACTACTATACCACGGGACAGCTCACCATAGTAGTTTAGCAGAGCTTTTAGCCCAGTCTTTGTGCTGCTCTGGAGGTGTACGGCAGCATGTGCCAGAGTAGCAATGCTCCAGACACTGCTAGGGTAGCTGTGGAAGAGTTTCTGTGCAGGCACCGACAGAGCCTCGGGGGTGGGTGAGGAGGCTGCCAGGAGTGGAACAACGAGTGGCAGAGGTGGGCTCTGTGTCAGAGGAGAAGACAACTATTGACAGATACTTTAGGTTTGAGAGCAATAGAGTGGGGATGATTCTGTTACAGGTATGGAATTATCATATCCCTGCTCTGTATAATCCTTTTTAGTAGCGATTACTGTTGAGCTGTGTACTTTAGGGGTCATAGTGTAGTCTTCAAAGCAAGGACAGTACACCAAGGTCTGAGTAATGTGAGCTTACAACATACCTCCACATACTGATGCCTATCAGGGAGTTGGTTTAGGAGAGTGGCTGCAGTCTCCACACACTCTGGGCCCTGCATGCACATGTGCACATACAAACATACTCAACACTCTGAGGTATATATAAAAAATTTACTCACAATCTGACTGGAGTTCATGATTATCTTCAGAGCCACCAGACAGGAGGCATGCAGCATCTGGCCGTCTCCACTGTTCCACTCTGACAGGAAATACGAACTCGTATAACACAGCTGCACTTTAGGAAGAGAAACAAATGTGTACCGATGGTCTTGCTCATCTCTAGTAATGCAGTCTGCAGCAATGTGAGGTCAAGGGTCAAGCAACCAACTACACACAGTCCAATGAGCACATGCAGACTCGGAGGACTGGTCTCAAACCTGCAGGAATCACAGAGAACCAGATGTAGAGGGAAAAGAAAAGATGGAGCCTCGGAAGTAGAGAATCAGATGTAGAAAAAGAGCCTCACGCCTTAAAGAGGTATGTCTTGCAGTTGTGAGTGTCTCCCAGGGCATAGGCCACCATGGCACAGGCTCCCAGAACAGCCGACTTTCTGTTTTCATCTGCCTCCTCCACCCCTGCCTCATACACTGGACATAGAGACACACACTTTGTATATAGCAGGTCTAAGAATCATGGTAAAATGGTTTACGCATACAATACAAACACCAAAGGACTACAGGGCATTTTGGTGTGCATTCTCTGTGAGTTCAAGTTTTTATCCTGTGCACGCTGTGTAGCAGGATAAGTGTTGGTGCCAGTTCTTATGGGGATAAATGAAGGGGTCAGAGCCAGAGTGGGCCAATCCTCAATACAACTCTTGCCGGTTTTTTCTATAAAACATATTTGAAGGAAAACCGGCGAGAGTTGTATATTGCGGGTCGGCTGACTTTGACTCTGACCCCTTCAAATATATGAATGGCACTTTAGAGGCAGACTTTCTGTTCATAAACTTTATATACCTCAGGTACACCAGGAATTGTCCACACTAAATACTGTATTCAAGGCTGAATATGCCCTTATTTGTTACACAGACTCAGAGAATAAAGACCTTGGAGACTCTCTTTGTATTTGCCTGCTCTGTGGAGGGCAAGGGCCAGGTGGAGGCGGGAGGAGAGGTCAGTGGGAGAGGGGTTAACACTCAGCCACAGTCCAAGACTCTCCTCATGTCTACCCAGGGCACTGTGTCGTCACAATGAACAGAGGTACATACAATTAAACATTGTCTCTCTAAAGTGGTTTGTTCAAGTATGTATATACATACACAGCTAACATGTGGAGTCACAAAGACCAGGCAATATTGAAATTACAGCATACACTCCACAATTAAAACCTACATGTTTTTGACAGGGAATTTTACAAAGCCCAACCACGCAGTCTCTCAGCTTGCAAGAGGAGCAGTTTGTAGAGTGTACAGTAGCTGTACCTTAGAACCCTGGCCCTGTTGGTGGAGACTGCTGAACACTGGCCGGGAGTCAGTGCAGATGGATTCGCCTCTAGCAACTCCTCAGCTCTGTAAGAGAACAAAGAGCATCAAGTATATACATATAGTAGGTCCAAGAGAACACACGAAAGAGACCTCATTTTAGCAAGTTTCTTTTGCAAATACGTAGCTCATATCACAAACTGTCTACTGATAATAAAGTTGAATGTTATGGTAGAACTCTTCTCTCACCACATGACCTCTCTTTTGTGCATTCCCTTGGACCTACACAACAACCACCTTCCTTTATCACTGACTTCATTACTTTATCCTATGCAGTTGGTATGTATACTATAGTGTTACCCACCCTTGGTCACCTGTGTAGGACTTGGTCGGCCAGTCCCAGGAGTCCCTCCTGCTCCAGGAGGAGGGCTAGGTGGTTGAGGGCCCACAGGTCACCTGGCTCTCTCTCTGTCAGTCTCTGGAGACAGTCCCTGGCCTGGAGGAGTCCTCGCCGGGCCACCTGGTTCAGGTCCTGGGCACCGGGCTCCAGGAGCAGGTCGGGGCTCAGACTGGCCAGACTGTGGCACACCCAGTAGCCATAGCCACGACTACCCTCACTCTGAGAGCAGAGGAATGTTAAATTAATACATGTGCAGTAGCTTAACTAAGCCATTCACTTTCCTAATTCATTTTAGGCATGCACCCATCTGTAGCCGGCAACCAAGTTTTAGTGGTAAATAGTGGAGCCTATAGTATAGCAATCCTGTGTGTCACATAGCGTCAAGAATGAAGTTCCTTTAGAGCTCAGCCAAGTTTAGTGGTATAGTGAGGAGGTTTATACACTCAGCTATCTTACACTATCTTACTAGGTGTATTTTACATGTGGGCTCTCCTACACAAACATGCACTCTGTGGACTACACTCAGCAGTTAGGGACTGCCAGCCTCTAACAGTGTGCAGCCAGTTCAATGGGAATTTCCAATACAGGTTCATCACTTAGTGGTGTTCATGCATGCACAGGAACCTTATTTGTGACTCAGAAAGCTAAGAAGCCTCACATGATACTCCAGTTCGGTGGTGTGTCTATAGAGGTCCATACAGTCAGCATCTCCAATGCTGTGGGCGATGCTGGCTTGTCCTATCCAGGCTGTGGCATAGCCTGGGTCCAGGGACTGGGCTATGGAGAATGCCTTGTGGGCCAACTGGAAATTAAGGCACATGTATTGACTCATGTACAATGTATGTCTGTCTGTGTGTGTTTGTTGTATGCATCACGCAGTCAAAGGCTCACCTTAATGTTTCCATGCTGGAGGTACAGAGCTCCCAGATTAGTCCACGCTATGCCATTCTGTAGAGGCACACAAATACATTGTATACCCAGAATATTCAGGAGCATACAGCACTAGGAAAGATAGCTGTCAAATGTACTTCAGAGTCTTGCTGTTGGACATTGTCTCTCTACTCACACACACACACGACTACAATCACACTATGGGGTCATCTATACACAAAAATTGCGGCAGTGACAACAGCACAGCTATGCATGTCTCAACAACTTGGTAACGAGGTACAAAGGCAAGGCAAGACAAACAACTACAGTTGTGGTATGCTCTGCTGATGAGGGCCAACAAGCCCGAAACAGAGCTCCGCATCTTTTTTCTCTTAGATTAAGGTGCTTGCTGGCTTCATTGCTGCAGCCCAATCCACTATGCCAGTATTTTGAATTCGGGTCGGTGCTGACCTTGACCAGCAGGAGTGGGGAGGGGCCTAGGCTAAACCATGGCATGGTCAGCAGCACATACCAGTGGCAAAGCCTTGTGGGGATGAATCTCATTAGTTCAAAACCACAAATGCTGCGCTCATGTCAGCCTTTAGATGCCAGAGAGAGAAGTTGTGGTATGCTCTGCTGATGAGGGCCAACAAGCCCGAGCTCCGCATCTTTTTATCTTGGCATCACATGGTTTTTTCTACATGTACGTCTGCTTACTTTGCTCCTCAGCCACAGAATTTTAGAAAAGCACATAATATACATACGTAGTACAGTGTAACCTAGTCTCGTGGCCAATCCCGCATTACACCTGGCCTGCAAGGCTATGTCAAGACTATGTAAGTGTAACTCACATTGTTCTCTAGTTGTATGGATGATATGAAGGCGTGCTGGGCAACAGCTGGCTTCCCAATACCTGTGAATAAAACAGTGTCCTAATAGACAACCTCACGCTGTGCTGCATGTACCAGGATGAGCTGCAATAACACCCAGAAGATTCCAGTGGGTGTGGTCTCTTGGGCTGATGCTCAGAGCTTTATTGATTACCTGTTACAATTTTAGTTTTTTAGTGAACACTGACTGCCACGTGTCACCCATTCTTACACTGAACGCTGATCCAATGAACTCTGACTTCTTCTCGTTTGTACTGGAAATCTAAATTGAGCAAACACACTTGCATCAACATTCACCTACATACGCTAGGAATTAAGCCTTTCACATGAATAGTAAAAGAGCATAAGTGTTGGTACAGTTTTAATCGAGATGCCTTGGTCGGCCTGACCTCATGCCAAGTAAGTAGACTAAATGGATTTGTGAAGAGTGGATAAGTCCATAAAAGGGGATGAAAGGAATATACATACATACCCACTCTATACCTGCGGGTTATGTACATTGCTTTCCAGACAACTCTCTAATGACTGTAGGGGTGACATTGGAGCAACCATTGGTAGGTTGGTTTATATTATTGCAAACTCATTACGTGTAACCCATCTCTGTTACTCTCGGTACCTGTGAGAGGTGGTAGTAGGTTAGGGCCAGGTCATGCCACAGACTGCTACACTCTGGACTCAACTGAAGAGCTCTTGCAAAAGATCTGCAATGCACACTTATGATATTGACTGTGTTGGTGTGGATCTAGCTCTGCTACGTACACTCATGACTGACATAAACATACACATAATATAGTGGTGGAGTATTATACACCTGCAGCCAATGAGGAAGAGTTGGGACTTGTCCACCACTGATGTGGTGCCCAGTGAGCCTCCCATCCCCACACAGTACTCCAGGAACTGCAGGTCTACAGCAACGATTTACACAAAAGACCATTTCAGTAACACAACATTTTGCTCTTCAAAATGCACGGAAAGTCTATATGTGCCACTACTGGGATGGCATGGATTAAACCTCACATCCCATCTCTTGCCTGACTTTCAGTGTGACTCTTGCTGCACATGCACGGCTGATGGGCTAGTGTACAACTCCACAGCTAACCTAGCAATGTCAGGGCAGAACCTGGTGAAGGCAGGTACAGCAGTTTCCAATTAGCTTCCAGACACACAGGAAATGAGGCTTTATACTGGCAGCCCTGGACACAGAATGACAAGAGTATTATACACAAAAAGTCTGAGGGCAAGCAAGTCAGTCACTGTAACATGAAGTACTGGTACTGTATGTGCATACTGGAGTACAATCTCTAACCAGGTGAGGTCAGTCAAGGCCAGGGAGACATGACTCACTGCCTTGGCATCAAGGTTCTGTCTCAGACTACCGAGAGCAAGGAGGTAGTGGGTGTGGCCTCGACCTGCGGTGTCAATAAACGGTAAAGCATGAGTAGCTATACACATAACCACAAATCATTTTTTTAAAAAGGTGATACTGGCGCATTTTGGTAGTACATATTCATCTGCTTGTTACAACGGATGTTTTGCCATCTTCACATAAATCCAACCACATTCCTATTCCGACATACCCTTGAGGGCAGGGAGGTAGTTTGGCTGCAGATCCAGGACAGCAGAGTACCTGGCCACTGCCTCATTTAGCTCGCCGCGGACCTGGTTGATATTACCCAGTCTATGGACAGACAGAGAGAGAGAGAGAGAGAGAGAGTCTCAATCATTCACAGCTTGACCAATACACACCATTAAAACTGAGAGCGATACTAAACATTAATTTAGTCTATCCATGATTAGGAAACATGGGACACAGGAAAATGTATTGTCAACGTTTTGCAACAATTATTAGGCAGCAGCTGTCTATAGTACCATCACGACACTTACATTACAGCACACAGTCAAACTCACTGGTAAAGGCAGTAAACTGATTCTGGATCCAACTGTACGTGTACAATAGTCTGAGATGAAAAGTGTGCATACCAACAAATATTGTCACGTGCCTCAACAACTCTTGCAAATGTCCTCAGGGCAGAAGTGTGGCTACCTCTGGCCAGGTAGGCCTCAGCCAGACACTCCCAACACTGTCTGCAGTAGCATTACATCATTTAGAGAGACAGATATCCAGCATGCAGCCCGCAGTAACATTACATCATTGACATCCAGCATGCAACCCAGCCTGAACCACCCTTCCACTCACTTGTCACTGGTGTCGGTAGTCAGTGACTTCTGGAAGCTGATGAAGCACAATAATAATACATTATGCTATACAGTTTTTAGCAAGTGAATGTATTGTACCAGTGAATGGCATCATTGAACTGCCCCTTCTTCCTATGGTAGAGTCCCAGTCTCAACCATGCCTGCTTTGCTCTATAAAACATGCATGCAAATCCATAAAATCAGCAAAGAAATGGCCCAGAAAAAGTTCAAAGAAGGGTAAAGTTGTACTATACGTAAAAATAACAAACACCTGTTAAAATAAACGTGACAGACGCTGATACTGAACTGAAGCCATTGGTATTGTTTCAGTTTAGATGCTGTGGTAATTTATGTGGTGATGGACAAACACACAGACAGAATACAGAAAGACAAACCCAGCTTCGTCCATAGACCACACCCCCTATATACAGGACCTAGTTCACATACTGTAACACTCACTGCAATTGTGTACCGAGGGTACGTACATACGTAACACCAGCTTAGTTACAGAGTACACACTAGTATACCTTGCCACTGGAACTCTTTTAGTGACTTCACTATACACACCAAATGCCTCCTCCTAGCGAAAACTCAGTGTAACAATATACGTCATGTAGCTGTTTGTACGTAGATGTGTACCTCCATGCCGCTATTGAAAAGGAGGTCTCCAGAGCAACTAAGAGCCTCCACGTGGTCTGGCTGCAGCTGGGCTGCCTTCCGGTAGCACTTGAGGGCACGACTAACACAGCAAATGTGAGTAGAACAAGAGCACACTTCTGAGATAAGTATAACCTGATGTCTCCTGCAACTTGTCTCTGGTAGTGGCCAATGTAGAGCATTATGTCAGGATTGTACGGGTCAGCCTTTGCCGCCTACAAAAAAAGATAAGAGCTACGCGATGTTCATGCATGTCATTGTCAGCACAGGTGAAATCGTGCAATTCAGAAGACTAGGAAGCCTTTTACTTGACTCAATACATAGTAGTCACAACAAACATTTGTACATAAAGAGTAACACCTCAGCAATTTTGGTCAGTGACTAGTGTTAAAAAGTTACAATTAAGCTATAAAGCAGTACAGTAGTTCACTCGGGATGGCCACCTCTACCTGACCTTGAGTAGAGTGGCATAGCTGGCCCGGCTGTTCCCAGAGTGCCACAGAGCTAGTCCCTTCAGCAGCAGACATTCTGACACCCATCGCTGCTCCTCACCGCCCAGCACTGACTCAAACCTATACAGCAAGAACCATCTACCATAAATAGAAAAAGCTTGATTTACACACAATGTTGAACGTATGTAAACCAAGAACTTGGGGACAAAATTTATATATGTACCAAGAGAGAGCCTTTTCATAGCTTTTTCGAGCCATTGACACTTCTCCCTGCATGTGTAAAATGACATCTTCTTCTCCATGTTTACATACATATGTACATAAGGTGTATAAACGCACCTGCAACATGTTTGCAGTAGCAGTGTCCGAGTCTGCAGAGTCCTTGAACGATTGCACAACCTGCATCACACACATCGGGAACATGATACCATGGTGTATGTGTATGTGTGTGAATGCAGATTGACCATCTCAGCTGCCTGGATATCTCCAAGAGCCAGATGAGCCCTGGCGAGTGAAACTGTCACATGACAATCACATGACCCTTTGTCCACAAGCTATAGGAGCAGAACAATAAGGTGCATAATAATTATAGGTTTATATTACGTAAGCCACACCTCCATCAGAATCGCAAGGGCCTGTTGTGCATGGTGTTCCTGTCCCAACCCTAGCAGAGCTCTGGCCTCCAATACCCTACATGAAACGCAGTCTCTAGCTACACGACACAAATATAGCATCCATAATCATTACTTGAGCTTCCACCGTGCTTGCTTAGCAATTACTCTGGGGAACTTGGCAAACCCCTCAATACCTGTGGTACAGATTTACAATTACTCATCGATATATCCTAAGGCTACTCGACTCAGTGCACCAGACCTGTGTGTGCATATTGTAGAGCCCTGGAAAAGTGATGTAGCCTGAGGCAGGCCCAGGACAGCAAGAGGTGGACCTCGTTGTACATTGTTGGAGAGACAGTCAAACCTACAGACCAGTCGGAATAGACAAACTATTAGTAATGTGAGTGAGGTTACAACTGGTTAGGGAAAGTCACCTTTTTCAAGCAGGTCGCAAAAATCTCTCCACTTTCCCTCCTTTGCTTGTACACACGCCATACCAACACAGACAAGACCTGACCCTCCGTCTCCTCTCTCCTCAGACCGGAGAGTCTCAAGTACAGTAGATGCCCAGTCTCCAATACATTCTCTACCAGGATCCTCTGGGAGCGCTGCATGGAATACACATCACAATATTATGTAGAGACATTAAAACACCACATTTTCAGACACAGGTTCAACACCGTGACAATCTGTTCTTTACGCTGTAACAAAGGTAGGTAGAGCCTCTTTTCCAAGTTTTCCCAATAGAATACTAAGACGCATGTGGTAGCTAATGCATGCAATCCCAAAGTAGCGTACCAGATAAGATGTCCTCCAGACAGAGGAAGACGGTGGCAGTGAGAGCAGGTAGGGAGGATGCTCTGGACTCCAGAGCACACTGGCAGTGACCCCACAACATCTCCCTCATCTCTCCCTCACCCTCACTCTCCTGGGACAACATACAACGCACCCTCTTTACACAGTACACTCTATAGCTCTATACCAGCAAATGAGTGTATGAAGAGCTCTGCCTTAATTTTCATGCATTCGATCACAGTGGAAATGTGCACGTAATAGTTACCCGACATAGATTTCTCGACCGGAACTGGTTATCCCATCATGGTAGTTTCAGACCTACAACATACTTGTTATTCCTTATAACTACTAACAATTCTGAACCGCTCAGTTGGAGACTGTGGTAGGTTAGATTCTTTCGTTTGTGAGTCGAAAAGCCACTGCCCACATGTACACATACTTTCAGTTCACAACAGGCAAACTAGTGGCTACTAGGATGGTAACAGCAGCCAGACCGAGTGACTGGAAAAACTTTTCAAGCAACAGTAGTGCACACTACAGGGGAGGGTAAAGAATAAGGGACCCGGAATGTCAATCAGGGGTGTTGCATGAAATCACTAGCGGTGTTCAGGAGTCATGTAGAAGTATAATATACGGAGAGTTGCACCTTGTATCTGTCCAACAGCAGTGGGATGAATCTCTCTCTGGTGGACTGTCTCATCTCCTCATCACCTCCTCCCACAATCACCTCCACACCTCTAACCAACTGCACACAACACACCTCTACATGTACAGCTCTTCGACAACCAACATCATATTCGACTGCACACATACAGTTGGTCTACATGACACACCTCAAGTAAGGTGCTGCACTACCAAATTTCATGGTATGTATATACATAAACAGGGGCCCTTGAAAGTGTTAAACTTGGTATTGTTCGTTATGTCGTCTGAAGAGGGCCATAAATGGAAATCCGTTTACCCACACACCACAGATTAGTAATGTGGCCTTGTTTCAGGGGTTTATGCTATTGGGGAAAGAAAAAGTGTTCCGATTTCAGCTTAGAGAGGGGTTATATGTACTCTATGTATATACAGTGGAACCTCTTCTAATGGACACTCTGAATAGAGGATACCTCTCGATCAGGTGCTAATGGGCCACTTCTGTATAAAAAAAAACATTGTCCTAGGGTATTTGGTAAGACTCCCAGAAAAATCAAACAAATGCCACTGATAATTGCCTTAATATGGAGGTTCCACTGCACATACCATGTCCCAGGCAGGCTGTGGGAGTTTGATGAGTCCCAGGAGGCTGTCGGTGATGGTGGGCCACAGTCCAACAAGGTCCTGGTCTCCAGGGGGGTAGGTGGCCAGGAGGGTGGAGTAGGTGGCCACCATGGAGGAGGTGTCCCCTGTGCGGTGGTAGAGGGAGGCCAGGGAGCTCAGAGTACTCTGCTTCTTGACCACATCACTGGTATGAGGAGAGTGAAGAAAGAGTAAAAGGAGTTAAGAATTGCTGGCTATTGATAAGAATGGGATTAGGGAATGCACATGCAATAAAAAGCATTAAAGTGCAAACCCTTGGCGCACTGCACATGTGTGGTACAGCTAATTGATGGGCTGGACTATGATTGTGTGTTTATTCTCATGGTGTCCCACTCGTAGCTCGCAGAGAGTGTGACAGCTACACTAGTAGACAGCATGTGTGATATTTTCTCCGCTGTGACTTCTTCTGCCTCACAGGTACACAGAGAAAGCATATCAGGTCGAGGCAAGCCAGTGCGATTATGCACATCGGCTTTTGTGTTTGTTTACGCATGGAAAAAGACAGACGGATGGGCACTCAGACCAAGAACTGCAACACACAAAAAGTGCCACCACATTAGGCACAAACTTTATTTGTTTTTTTTGTTACCAAAGACATTCTTACATATATTTAGCGTATAGGTGCAGGTTAATATAGAACAATCTGAAATGTATTGTTGAGATTCTTCTTACACGTGCATACAAACATAACTGGCCATGCAGTAAAAAACATAATTGAATGTTAAACACCACTCCAGCTTTTCCAGAGATTGTTTAAGGCAAAAACTATAAATGTAGAAGTTGACAAAATTTTTAAAAGCCACCCGCACATCTCTCCAGACAGACGTCTATGGACACAGTGCAATGCCAAACTGTACGCTGTCCTTTGAGATATGTGTGGGTCAGTGGTAGATTCATGGGTAAGGGGAGGAACCAGAGCTGTTCCCAGCCAATGCTCTGGACCACCTGTCAGTTTCAGTGCGGGTCCGGGATTCGAACCGGGCACCTTATGTGACAGTCCCCACATCTGTAACCACTTATCCACTTGGGCTGGCCATGAGAGCTGATGAAAAAACGTTCCTCTTATATCAACACTCATATTACATCATTATAAAAAGATCCCCACAGACCGGGATTGAACCGCTGATCTCACGATTATGGGTGTGAGTCCTTATCCATCAGACCACACACAATAAGTTCAACATTGTGTAATTGGCGAGCGGAAGCGAGCTAACCTAGTGGTCCGAACGGCGCGATTTTTCTATATAATATATATATATATATATATGTCACCGTACGTCGTCCAACTGCGCATGCTCCAGCATTACGCGCTTCTTTTTATCCGAAAGGGATTTCAACATTTTCATAATGCTGCCTGAATCGAGCGGAATCAGGGGAAACGCAACATCTCCGAAGCTATCGAGTATTGCTGCACAGTCCAGCGAGAGATTTTTCTACATTGCCACTTGTTCCCTATTCCTGCAAGACCAATAAGATTGCCGGATTATGCCTGATTTGCGCTGTCGTCTGACTGTTTTTGACTCGACTCGAATTGTCTACTGCGCTCGGGTCTAAAAGGTTGTTTCGGCCTACTTGGTCCTGTGCAATGTATCTCACTGTTTTGTGCACACACAAGAGTGACTCATACGATTAGACCCCAATTGTAAGCGCACTTCCGCTCGCCAAAAATGCCATGCATTCGCCTACTAGTATAATATATCACTAAGTGCAAACCCTCTGCACAACAGAGTCAGTGTTGACATGCATATGGATGCACGGGCGGTATTGCTAATTGCTAGGCCGTGGTCGTGGTCTGCTGTAGCACTCTGAGAGTCAAAAAGACACTCACTGACTAACTACACTCCCTGTGTTGCAACAGGCCTCCAAGGTCTGCAAAGCAAGCGGATCTGGTCGAGGTGCCGTGCTGATTTACATATTGGCTTTTCACTTGGTTCTCAAGCTATAAATCTCTTGATGCAGTACTTTTACCAAAATTGAAATTTATACTCAAGCCAGTGTAGCGCTGAACCTGTTGGTATCGCGCGCTCTTTTGTTGTCTCGTTGCGCTACTGGCAGAAAATGTGGTAACAGATGAAACGACAGACAGAAAGACAGACATACGAAGTAACGTAACCCTCGCAGAGCATGCGTACTGTTAAAAAAATTTTTATTAAAGTGCAGAGTGTCGTGGGTTTGAATCACACCTGCGACAGCTCTTTTATCGCCCTTGGTGTAGTTACCTTGCCTTTGCCTTGCCACTTCATTGTTAACCCTCGGCGCGCATGCGCAGCGAGGGTTACGGTAGTTGTTTCGTAAGTGTGTCTGTCAGTCTGTCAGTCTGTCCGTCTGTCAGTCTGTCAGTCTGTCTGTTACCACGTTTTCTGCCACCGCGCGCACGAAATCAGGTAAATAACGATATGATCGGGTTCAGTGCTACACTGGGTTGATTTTAAAAAAGGCGATTTTCGTAAAACTACTGTGTTTTAAAGTTATGGCATGAAAACCAAGTGAACAAGCCAATATGTAAATTAGCACAGGCTTACCTCGACCGCGTCCGTTCGCTCTGTGTGTCTTGAAGGCACAACAAGTCACAACGAAGGGCATGTATTGACTCACGCATGCTATTTACTACTGTAGCTAGCCCGTGCCAGACTCTCCGCGAGCTACTAGCAGGATACCACGAGTAAAGGCATAAAAAACCCAGCCCATCAATTAGTGGTACCGCACATGCGCAGTTCGCCGAGGGTTTGCACTTTAGTGCTTTTCATTGAGACATGCAATGATGTAGGTATGCATTATACTCACAATACTTGGCATTATCCGTAACAGGACATTTTCTCCCCCATACAGTTCTACTCACCTGTCCACATGAGGAAGTAGTGTCTGGTAGGTCTGGAGAGCATCTCTCACCTCATCCTGACCACTGGGAGGGTGCTTGTCATAATAATTAGCCAGCCCCTGGGGATATTATTAACTCTGAACAGTACTGCAGTACTACAGTCCCACCCAATACTCTACACATATACACAGCTGACTGCATCCTGTTTCATTACTGGCTTTTACCCATCTGGTTATGGAACTGCTTGCATTCCCAGTGCTGTACTTGTGTTCTACGCTGCATCTGTCTCTGACACACCTGGCCTTGACTCTAGCGCACCATGTCAGCTATGTACAAATACCAGCCGTGTCTGTCTCCCACCATGTGGCGCCTCGCACATGCTACAGCAGGAATCTAGCCAACAATTACATCTAATCAGGACAGGGATACTAATAATAATATGTCCATTAGCCTGTTGTCTTCTTAGTGTGCCTTGAAGGGTTTTTAATACCAGTGCCATTAAAAATGTACAGCTGTCTCAATCTTTATTCTGTCTGTGTAAAATGAGGATAAAAGCCGGCCAGTTACATAACTGGTCATTTGGGTGCATATCCAGCTGGGGCATCAAGCCATTACAGACTATAATATTCACCTTCCATGCCAGAGGGTCACCAGGTTGGGCTGCAAGGGCAGTCTTGTAATGCTCCCTGGCTTGGTCGGGTCTCCCCAGTTCAATGGCTGCCAGCCCTGCAAACACATGGCCCACGTAGTTACCCTCCTCCGCTGCAAATATATCCTGCATATTAGTTTGGAGCCAATAGCTATGAATCATGTTACCATGCAAAACAGCTGATCATAAATTTAGTAAATGCAGTGCTTGAAGAGACAGTCCTCACCTGGCATATCCTGGCTACCTCATGGTACTCTTTCTTCCCCACCGCAGCCTTCGCAGCTTTCAGCTGAGCCTTCACCGACTTCGAGGCCATGAGGCTACCAGGGTTGTTTTAGGCGTGGCTTAGAGCCCGAGCTGTTTTCCTACTGCGCATGCGTTTTAGACAGCTAATTCAGCGTCGTGAATTTGCAGCTGCTGCGCCGTCGTTTGTCTACGTACGTTCGACCGGAGGGGCGGTATATACATTTACTGGATCTCTGTTGAAATGGCAGAGAAAGGTTTGACACATTAGTGCTATAGCTGTATATACAGCAGCCGATATTTCGTACATAACAGAGCCGTTAGAAGAGGACGTCCCACGTCCTACTGTAACGTGGAAAGTATCGGACGCAGACATGGACGTCGTTCCTCAGAGCTCTTCTTTCTCCATTGCTAGTCTCCCAGAGATCACGTCGTATGCCGCCCCCACCACTGCTGCAGCAAAGTAACTGTCTCTCATTCTGGTACCTTGTATAAATGTGCAGCTAAATCCATGCATGAATAAGCTCCTCAGCAGTAATAGCCCTGTACGCTAGTTCTAAAGTCTACACACCACACTCAGACTACGCCTGCTGCTGAACTATCTGGAGGCAGGGGACTCGAGACCAGTGAGCCTTTCAGAGATGCACAACATACTCTCCTACTCTGCTGATGTACTCAACCACTGCAGTACTCATGGAGGTCTGGAAAGAAAATGGTAGCTACTCTCCCTCTTACGTAGTATAGTACGAGTGCAGTATAATCAGACATTTTCTGCTTTCCGAAATGAATCTGGTTGTTCAGCTTTCCTTCTATAGAGGAAATGCGTATGATATACGGCATTACCAACCTTTGAAACATGGTGTGTATTTTCGAAATGTGAGTGTTTACCTCCCCTGTAGATTTCCTTTATGCGAATTGGAAAGGAAATTACAGTTTTTTTGCAGTGTAGGCTAGCAATTGATGTTGATTAGCTACTCATCACAAGCTCTAATACCCAATATATATACTGCTCAGCACGTCCATAGTTCATATTAAATTTGGCACTGTGCCCCCTGAAGCTCAGTACAAGACATTACGTAATAATTAAACTGCACGAAGGTCAACTGGATTTGAGGACCTGAGTGGAGTGCAGGACACAGAGGTGAGAGGCTGGCTCTCCTCCACCTTCACCAGAGTAGCTCCCAGACCCAAGCCGAGGAAGAGGAAGTCGTTCAAAAGTGTGGCTACATCGGTCATGATTGGCAGATACATGGAGTCGTGAGTAGCTCAAATTCAGCAGAGCCACTGTCGCATTGGAAGTTTTTCTCACAGTTTTTGTAAAGACACAAAAAGTCAGAGAAGAGTTTTGGAGTATCCTCCAGCCATTGAGGAGCTCTTCAAGGTGTATTATAGGTCAACTCACCTTGCACAAGATCCTCTCCCTTTTAGCATTAGCACTATAATGACCCCAAGTTTTCCTATTACGCAGACGGTGGACAGTTGGGAGTTTAACATGTTTGAAGTAGAGACTCTGACTACTCACCAGCCTCTGAGGTACATTGGACACGAGGTCTTCAAGAGACACGACATGCTGAGTATTCACAAGGTTAGCTTAGCAGCATCCCACATCCGTAAGGACTGTGCTTTGCTATTAATTGGATGTTATGTAGATTCCGCCGGCCACTCTGGATTCGTTTCTGTTGCAAGTGGAGAAAGGGTACAAGTCTCACCAGAATTCCTACCACAATGAGACTCATGGAGCTGATGTCCTCCAGACCGTCCATGCTCTCATTACCTCTGCTGAGTTGACTAGAGTAAGTAGATTTTAAAAAGAGGAGGTATTAATAAGGAGAGTTCTGAGCTTCTATGTTTGTGTGTGTGGCTGCAGTTCTGGCTGGGGAGTCTTGAATTGTTGGCACTCCTACTAGCTGCCACTATTCATGATGTGGATCACCCGGGAACTACAAACACATTTCAGATGAATACAAAGTCAGTTGCATCAGAAAACCATACCATACGGCTTTCGACGGGTTGTGTTATGCAGGTCAGATCTAGCCTTGTTGTACAATGACCGCTCAGTTCTAGAAAACCATCACTTGACTTATTCCTTCCAGTTGCTGATGAATGTAAGTCAATACTAAGAAAGTGTGTCTGCAGTAAATAATAGTACAGTATACTTCTACACAATATTATGATATCTTTTTACATCTAGGAAGAAACTAATATTCTACAAGGCCTCAACTCTGAAGATTACTCTCGAGTCAGGGGACTAGTGATTGACATGGTCTTTGCCACAGACATGTCCTGCCATTTTGATCACCTCAACGAGATGAAGTCCCTCCTTTCAGCCCCAAATGCGTGAGTCTAAGTCACGTAGTAGTTCAAAAGTCCCTGGGCTTGCTAAAGAGGAGTTTATGTAGCATTATTGTAAGTCAGCTCATGTTTGGAATGGTTTCTATCTGTATCTTTCAAAGGGTGATAGAGTTGACAGAAGAACACCGCTCAAAAGCCCTGTGCTTTCTTCTGCACTCTGCTGATATCTCCAACCCTGCAAAGCCGTGGGAGATCCACACCAGATGGACGGCCAGAATAATGGAGGAATTCTTCCAGCAAGGAGACCGTGAGAAGCAGCTCTCCCTGCCCATCTCTCCCCTCTGTGATCGCAATACCACTTCCATCCCTGGATCACAGCTGGGTAATTACAACTAGTACATCCACAACCATTAGCCATAGTAATGCACTGTGTAGCTACATTCGGTAGCTCTCTCATTTGTATGATCACTGCTAAAGCAAACTACCTGCTTATTGGACTATGTCATAGAGTGAATACGGTCCCAGCCTGCCTTGTAGCTCAGTGGAAGAGCACTCATCTAGGGAACAAAGTGTGTCGTGGGTTCGAGTCCCACCTAGGACTGGTCTTTTCTCTACATTGTAAACTTGACTTGTGTTACACCCCCTGATTCATGTCTATACATGTCTCCAGGATTCATCCGGCATATCGTGAGACCACTGTGGGATGTGTGTGGGGACATGTTGGAGGTACTGACTGGTGGTGCCCCCAGCATATCTCACACCAGCCGACCATGGCTGTACCACATCACCCACAACCTGGAGCAGTGGACAAGGAAACGAGCTCAGAGCTAGCGAAAACTTAGACTAGTAGACCACCACCCACTTTATTTATACCACCTGTATTCCGCTTCTGTTCATAAAATCTCATCTAACCCTGTGACTACATACTATTTTCACAGGCTTATGCACTCTACTATGGTTTTGAATCTTGCGAGAAGCAAGATAGCGTTGCGTAAGCAGAGGTTTGCGCATGCGCGTTAATCAAGGAAGTGGGAGGATTTTTGCAGCTTGTCATTGGCAGGGGTCTCAGTTCCTGAATGTAGGACGGCTAAAAGCCCATCATGAATGCATGCTGCAAGGCTCTCGTAGAATAAAATCACTCTCTCCTCAGCCTCGATGGACGGGATGACGTTTCCCGGCGAGAGGCTACTGGCCAGTGTCATCAGTCCGGACAGCACCACAGCGGATGCAACTCCGTTTGCTTTTGCTGAGAAACTGCCTGACGCGACATCTTCCGAGGCTCCTGCTACTGCGGCGACCAAGTAAGTCGTTGCTCTCAGAATACATGCTCAGTGTTCTTTTTTGTGTGTCAAAGACAAAAGTTGGTTGTTGCAGCACTGGGCTGTCACATTCTGTAACTGAGTCATTATAATACTTCCTAAACAGTTTGTCTGGTATGTGTGGGTTTCAATACAAGTTTCATGGATGGCTGAGCAACAAGAGACCATGCATTTTTGTGGATATTGGCAGTAGTCACTGTTGTATGGCACATGATGTGAGAAAAGTGCTACTTTATAATGGTTTTGTGCCGTAAAGAAGGCCATACTGGCCAGTGTGTGTACATTCAGGCCAATGCGAGAAAACCCAATGTGAATATTGTGGTCAGGTTATTGGTGTGGTCACTGCATACTGTGAGCATTCTGCGTACAAGCTGTTGAGGTGGGCACACTGGCAATAAAGCTTGTAGTTTGCAGTACCTTGACTGTATATACCTCCAGTGCGAATCTATATTATATGACATTACAACTGTAGTACCCGTACTCTATGTAGTATGTAGACTGCATATTATATTATATTCATCACTTATTGTCATTCATGTAACAGTGTATGGACGTGGAGAAAATCAGATTTGGGACTCATGCAGTTAGAGTTGGGAAAGATAAGCGTATATAATCACACGCAAGGCTGGTAGTTGTAGTGCCACACAACTAATATGTACTCTTAGTTCAAGGTGGCCAAATTGTCTAATCAGTGACATTTTGCTTGCTCTATACCCCTGCCATATAAGGCATTATTATGCTGCGTAATTTGTAATTTTATATGCATGCCAGCTGAGTTGCCCTGGTAGCTCAGTTGGTAGAGCACTCGCCTAGACTGCAGTGTCGTGGGTTCGAATCCCACCCAGGGCAACTCTTCTTGAAAAGAAAGAGCTGTCCTGGGTGTAGTTGACTTGCTTGCCTTGCCTTTCTACCTCTCTACCAAGTTGTTGAGACATGCATGCCATTCCTGTGTAAACATGGGATAATTTCCTCCGAGTAGACTGCGGCTGCTGTTGAAGTATCTGGAGAGAGGAGAAGTCCCAGTGAAAGTCACTGAGCTGAGGAGGACACTGTCCTATGCAGCTAAGGTCCTCACTAACTGCAGCCTCCTCATAAACTCAGGGACTAGAAGGTATATATGTCTGGTCATTATGTCCCTTGCCCCTGTAATTTCACCGAGTAATGGACACTGTGCAGTTCGTTGTTTACAACAAACGCATTCACCCATTCTCGCGCTCACAAAAATTCGCTTTTTAGAGTAGGAATGCAGTACCTAGGTGGGACGAGTGCGGTATCAAGTGATAGTGTTTGTTTTACAGTGGATAATTAATTACCAGGGGGTCAGATGGAATGTTAACCCAAGAGCAGTTGAGTGGAGTTAAGGACGCAGTAGTTCGGGAGTGGCTGTCGTCCACCTTCACACGACAGAGGTGGTGTTCTCAAGTTGCGTCGAGACCTAAACCTCTCTCCTTCAGAAATGTCGCCACAACCCTCATGATCGGCAAGTACATTGAGAAGTGAGTCTCATTAGAACGGCTGATAGTATAATTGTTTCTGTGAAAAAAATGTTAACTACTGTATTCCTATGATTAGTTCTCTTGTCGTTATGCAGGGTTATGTAACTCAAAGGTGTAATTGCAGAACCCATTATATTCTGCTTAGAGTGTGCTCTTCCTACTAAACTCAGATGGACAAATACCTGTTAATGGAAGAGTGGAAATAATATGTCTCCATCGGCTCTGGGGCTCAGTTTGTATGTACCTAAGCAGCTCAGTAGGCGGGGTTCCATTATGCCTATAAAAACACAGCAGGATACACAAAGATATTGTAGCACAAAGAGAAGTATTACCCATAGTAGGAGACATTACCCAATATCCCTTTTGCCATAAAAGGCGTGGGCAATATGATTGGTGTCATTAGGCTAATTATACCACCCCCCTATCATTATGAGGATGTGTGTCAGGTGGTGTTTCCTTTCCTTACATCACAGTTCAAAGGGGCCATAATTTCCAGATAGCCAAAACAGCAGCTGCACACTGTACGCTGCCCTACATTATTATTACTGGCTGCATTATGCTTTGGGACTTAACTTAGCAACTACCATGTGTTAGTTAACAAACAGCCAACACTATTATTAAGCTGGTAACTTTATCCAAAGCAGTGAGCCTTGTAATGTCAACCTATCACAGAGCCATGACAGCTTTCGCTTACTTACAACTAGACACCATGCACACAGCAAACAAGTTCTGAAATGTACTGTAATTATTATACATGTCAATGTTAGTCTATATTGTTAATGTGCACACGCTACTTCTCCATGTTTTCCCATGCAATAATTGTTTTGAAATAACTTTCTCCATAAAAAGGCACTGAGTCATTTGATTTCAGAATTACTAGAGTAGCGAAAGATTAAGTGGGCCTGTTACATACCTTGTGGATTAGCTACCGAAATCAGATAAATTCCAGAATGTTACATGTAAAATCAGCTACATATATACACGAAAACTACGAGAAGGCAAAGGCACAATAAACAAATCAACTACACCCAGGACAACTCTTGTTTCCAAGGAAAAATGAAGAGCTGCCCCATAGGTGGGATTCGAACCCACGACACTCTGCAGTCTTGGCGAGCACTCTACCAACTCAGCTGGTAGGGGTTCGAATCTACAACGCAATATATAATTATACTGATTCTAAGCACTCGCTCCCTTGTGAGCTTCAGCTATTTGGTTGCCCTACTACTGTGTAACTGGCTTCCAATCGTTTCATGCATTCTTTCCAGCATTTACAAGGACAGAGTACAAGTAAAACAACTGCAATATCCCGCAGGAGTCCTACAGCTTTTCCAGGTATAATCATGTGTCTTGCATACTGGTCAAATTCATTATATTGCATAACAAACGTTTAGAGAAATAAAACATTTGTGAATTTTGTGGATGGTGAGGATTACTACAGTAGTTTTGCAGAATCTAATAGCTGAAGTATGTCTCGCAACCCCTATATACTCCCAAAGTAGAGTGCTCCTTTAATGTTAGACAAAGGGGGAGCTAGAAGCCCTTCTAACGTTTAAAAGTTGTGAGACATAAATGTTTTATGACTTGGTACTCACTTCAGGATCTCTGTAATGCATGAAAGAGCTGGAGTAGTTTGAAAGTACCATATTATTATTTTACATGAGGTTGTGGAGATGCTCTGCCAACTTATAGTTCTAGAGTCCAATGGAATAGGAAAACTTTCTCATGGGCATGACATATACAATTTTAAACTCACCTTATTAGCTGACCTGGCACTGGGCAACAACGGCCTAGTCCTCCTGTCCCTTCATTCCTTTTATGTAAATACCCTCCATTACATTAAGTTTACTTTAAATTGCATGTACATACATACAAAAGGCTCTTAATTACATATACTATAGGCAGATCCGCGCAGGCATTATAATTCTTCCACTTTGCCCACATTAACACACAATAGCATTAATCATGGATCTCCATACAGCAATGCTAGCTTCCATGTACACCTCTTTATCACACTGTAGTTAGTGATGTAGTAACTATATAGCACAGTTTGAGAACTTGGCACGTTGTCTGGCTGTATAGCTGTATTGGAGATGTACCCATAAACACTTTGAGTTATCACTACAAATCCTGTTTACGGTCCAACATCTGCTAGGGACATTGAGTATTATACAAAATATTTGTCACAGTCACTGGACAGTTGGGACTTTGCCATCTTTGAGGCAGAGGCTCTGACCACTCGCCAGCCTCTGAGGTATGTGGGACACGAGCTGTTCAAGAGACACAACTTGTTCTCTGAACATAAGGTCAGTCACAACCTCTGTCACTCTACACGCGGAGGAGCGTTTTCCGAGAAGCAGTAAACACCAATCACAACATCTCTGGCTATGTGCATTTGATATGGTGTGGAGTAACCTGACCTAAAGCTTAATTTTCAGTTATGCTACGGTTATGCTATAGATAGTTTAGTAATTGTGGACAGGCTCATATTGCTACATCATATTAGATTCTGCCGGCCACTCTGGATTCGTTTCTGTTGCAAGTGGAGAAAGGGTACAAGTCTCACCAGAACTCCTACCACAATGAGACTCATGGAGCTGATGTCCTCCAGACCGTCCAAGCTCTCATTACCTCTGCTCAGCTTCACCAGGTAGCCACAGAATCCCAGCCATTATTAACCCTCGGCGTGCATGCGCAGTGAGGGTTACGGTAGTTGTCCCGTAATTAAGTGTGTCTGTCAGTCTGTCAGTCTGTCTGTTAGCTACCACGTTTTCTGCACCGCGCGCACGAAATCAGGTTTAATAGAGATATGATCGGGTTCAGTGCTACACTGGGTTGATTTTTAAAAAGGCGATTTTCGTAAAACTACTGTGTTTTAAAGTTATGGCGTGAAAACCAAGTGAACAAGCCAATATGTAAATTAGCACAGGCTTACCTCGACCGCGTCCGCTCGCTCTGTGTGTCTTGAAGGCACAACAAGTCACAACGAAGGGCATGTATCGACTCCCGCATGCTATTTACTACTGTAGCTAGCCCGTGCCAGACTCTCCGCGAGCTACTAGCGGGATACCACAGGCATAAAAAGCCCAGCCCATCAATTAATGGTACCGCACATGCGCAGTTCGCCGAGGGTTTGCACTTTAGTGCTTTTCATTATGTAACAGCAGCCATAGCCACTGTCCAAACCAAGTGAAGCCAGAAACCGCTGCTTTGTTATCCTGAGTACCAAGCTTGGCTTAACTATATACAACACCCTGTATATAGTTAACCCTCGGCGCGCATGCGCAGCGAGGGTTACAGTAGTTGTCGTGTGTGTCTGTCAGTCAGTCAGTCAGTCAGTCTGTTCCACAACATCTCACTTTACGAGCCATCAATCGCTCCACAAACGATACCACATATTCAGCGTCGGATAAGGTCGCAAAGTACGTGGAGTTTTCTCTGAAACTGCTGCGTTTCGGGAGTTACGGCGTGAAACACGAGCATGGGTTGCTAGTAACTATACTGTCAATCAGCAAGGAAGTCTCCTGTATTACAATACTACCACACACCAATAAATGAGGTTTAGGATGAGTTTCATGTTTTGTTACTCCAGTTGTGGTTCAGTAGTCTGGAATTACTGGCTCTGCTGTTGGCTGCAACCATTCACGACGTGGACCATCCCGGAACCACCAACTCTTTCCAGATTAAAACAGTGTTAGTCTCCAATTATTAACTGGTCAGCAGTAATATGGGCAACTAAGGTTTCATTATTATAACCATGTCACCAAAATAACAGGGTAGTTTAGTCACCATACTCTGTGTGTGTATATAGTTGCTATAATAGTATGTAACTTCCTCCCGTGTACAGATCAGACTTTGCTCTCTGCTACAATGACCGATCAGTCTTGGAAAACCACCACCTTAACTACACCTTTCAGCTGCTGAAAAATGTAAACAAAGCTGCTTTTCCTGGTTCCCTGAATGTTATCAGAGTAATCAATTACACAGGAGGAATATAATATTCTTCAAGGGCTGAGTTGTGAAGAGTTTGCTGAGGTCCGAGGACTGGTGATTGACATGGTGCTAGCCACTGACATGTCCAGTCACTTTGAGCAGGTGAAGCGGATGAGGCTTCTCCTCTCTGCACCTGACAGGTGAGTGAGGAGTCGTTCGGTATACGTCAGCTGCGGTATATAACTACAAAACAATGCGGCTTGCATGGGCAAGCGAACGCAGAAAGTTACTTGAACGAATAGGAGTATATACCTCAACTTGTTCGACAAGAATTGTAATTTTTCGGAATCACGCTCAATTTGTCACACATTTTTCAAAATTGTGTAATCGTTACGGCATGTGTGCAGTGCCCGTCACATACTGAGCGAGGGTATACTGTGCTATAGCACAGTGGTTTGAGGACGCCTTGCCTTTGTGTTGTATTGTGTTGTATTGTGTTGTAGCTACTAGCTGTGTTGCCCTGGTAGCTCCGTTGGTAGAGGACTTGCCTAGGAAGCAGAGTGTCATCGATTCGAATCCCACCCTGAGCAGCTGGTTTTTCTGCTTCTTTTTCCTTGAAAATGAAAAAGCACTGAACTGCAAACCCTCAGCGAACTGTGCAAATTGGGAAATGGGCTGGGCTATTAGTATGTGGTCTCCCGCTAGTAGCTCGCGGGGAGTCTGACACGGGCTAGCTACAGCACTAGATAGCATGTGGGAGTCGATACACGCCCTTCGTTGTGACTTCTTGTGCCTTCAAGATACACAGAGCAAGCGGACCCGCTCGACGTACATAAGCTTGTTCTAATTAGCATATTGGCTATTTCGCTCGTGTTTCACGCCATAATTCCTGAACGCAACAGTTTCAGAGAAAACCCCACATTTTTCGACCTATACCCGACGCTGAATACGTGGTATCGTTTGTGGAGCGATTGATGGCTCGTGAAGTGAGATGTCAGGGTACCGGTACCGGACTGACTGACAGACACACACGACAACTACCGCAACCTTCGCTGCGCATGCGCGGCGAGGGTTAATAAAGAGCCGTCCTGGGTATAGTTGACTTGTTTTGCTTTGCTTTGCCTTTCTACCCCATTACGTACCTCATTGTTGACACTAGTCTGGTGCCCAGACCCGTTCACAAAGTATATGCGCATACGTGAAACGCATGCGCGAGGGAGGGTGTCCAGTCACTTTGAGCAGGTGAACCCTTCTCTCCCTCCCTGGCGCATGCGTTTACACGTGCGCATATATTTGTGAAGGGTCTGGGCACCAGACTATGTTGACATAGGATAATTGTGATTCAGACATATGCCTCGTCTTTAAAAATTGGCAGGTTACTTGTCTCCACTCATTATATGCACTACTATGTATATCTCTGTGAAAGGGGGCAAGCCCCCTATAAAAATGAAAAGCACTTATAAAGTGCAAACCCTCGGCGAACTGCACATGCTAATTGATAGGCTGGGCATCAGTATGCGTTTCTCCTGCTAGCACCTCACGGAGAGTGTGGCACTGGCTAGCAACAGTAGTAGATAAAATGCGGGGAGTCGATACATGCCCTTCGTTGTGACTTATGTGCCTTCAAGATACACAGAGCGAGCGGACCCAGTCGAGGTCAAGGTCAAGGTCGAGGTCAGCCGTGACACGCATTCGTCTAATTGTACGCATACGCACAGCTACGTAATTTATGGGTTGGGCCACGCAATTCGGTCTGCGGCCATGCCAGTTTCTCGCTCTCGAATGCAGTCGTTTCAGGAAAATCGCCTAATTGATTTTCAGGTTCGCGTAGTTCTAAAGCCGTTGGTATTGCTTATGGGCCGAGGGTTAATTAGGGCTAGGGCTACATGGATATGGAAGCCAATAACTCACCACCTATGAGTTATGTCATTATAACATGCTGCATCATTCCAATTGCCATGCATTTAGTGTGGCCTCATACATAGATTGCTCATAGCAATTCTTCGAGGTTCGTACGTAATGTTCTAAGCTACACTTCTCAAACTGCTAATTAATTAGGTCAATCAATCCCTCTAAGCAACCAGATCGTTTTCTACGGTTACATGCATGAATGTGTCCAAACATCTGGAATCTGATGGTTTTCTGCTACAATTCTCTACTGCATTTCACTGAGAGATGCTATGAACACAGGTTCCTTTTCCACAGAAACCTGATTGGCCTTTGGAAGCCAGTGCCTTGACCCTTCCAGAGTATTGAATGCATGGGGTTTTTGGGAGTTCACACTAACATTTTCAGATGACAATTAGAAATGCATGTCAGTTGGACGATATACCAATGTAGATAAGGAAACTGTTCAGATCACTAGGTATACGAAGAGTGCGCAGACATATACCTCGTGCAGTAAATAACATTGTGTAACGTTCTGAGTAAGCTGACGTTGATCGTGAAGTCTCACCTCCGCCATCCGCGCGATGACAAACATATCGTACAACGTATATATACCACGCACACGCCCCTGCCATCCTCGCGTGCATGCGTAGAAGAGCGTGACGGACAAATATACATACCTACGACCGAGCATGTGCTGCACTCCCGCTCGCCAATAGTAACAGATGGCGTGACTTCATTTGTAGGATTCTCTACACCCTACTATATGCATCCTCTTTTTCATTGAGCATTTTGTGGTGCTAATCACCGCTTTTAGAGATGGTGTGTGTCAATACTGTGTACCATACTGCAGTGTGTCTCAGCTGACAGAGGAGCATCGCTCCAAGGTCATGTGCCTCCTGCTGCACACGGCAGACATCTCCCACCCGGGGAAGCCATGGACCGCACACCACCAGTGGACCGAGAGGATATCAGAGGAGTTCTTCAGACAGGGAGACTGGGAGAGGGAGCTGGCCTTGCCACAGTCTCCCCTGTGTGACCGACACACCACCCCCCTCAATGAGTCTAAACTAGGTATGTAGGTCACTCCCCTCAATGAGTCTATGTAGGTCACTCCCCTTAATGAGTCTAGACTAGGTATGTAGATCACTCCTCTTAATGAGTCTAGACTATGTATGTAGGTCACTCCCCTTAATGAGTCTAGACTAGGTATGTAGGTCACTCCTCTTAATGAGTCTAGACTAGGTATGTAGGTCACTCCTCTTAATGAGTCTAGACTAGGTATGTAGGTCACTCCCCTTAATGAGTCTAGATTAGGTATGTAGGTCACTCCTCTTAATGAGTCTAGACTATGTATGTAGGTCACTCCCTCTTAATGAGTCTAGACTAGGTATGTAGGTCACTCCTCTTAATGAGTCTAGACTGGGTATGTAGGTCACTCCCCTTAATAGTCTAGACTAGGTATGTAGGTCACTCCTCTTAATGAGTCTAGACTATGTATGTAGGTCACTCCTCTTAATGAGTCTGGACTAGGTATGTAGGTCACTCCCCTTAATGAGTCTAGACTAGGTATGTAGGTCACTCCCCTCAATGAGCCTAGACTAGGTATGTAGGTCACTCCCCTCAATCTCGACTAGGTATGTAAGTCACTCCTCTTAATGAGTCTAGACTATGTATGTAGGTCACTCCTCTGAGTCTAGACTTGGTATGTAGGTCACTCCCCTTAATGAGTCTAGACTAGGTATGTAGGTCACTCCCCTTAATGAGTCTAGACTATGTATGTAGGTCACTCCCTCTTAATGAGTCTAGACTAGGTATGTAGGTCACTCCTCTTAATGAGTCTAAACTATGTATGTAGGTCACTCCCCTTAATGAGTCTAGACTAGGTATGTAGGTCACTCCTCTTAATGAGTCTAGACTAGGTATGTAGGTCGCTCCTCTTAATGAGTCTAGACTATGTATGTAGGTCACTCCCCTCAATGAGTCTAGACTAGGTATGTAGGTCACTCCCCTTAATGAGTCTAGACTAGGTACTCCTCTTAATGAGTCTAGACTATGTATGTAGGTCACTCCTCTTAATGAGTCTAGACTATGTATGTAGGTCACTCCCCTCAATGAGTCTAGACTAGGTATGTAGGTCACTTCCCTTAATGAGTCTAGACTAGGTATGTAGGTCACTCCTCTTAATGAGTCTAGACTATGTATGTAGGTCACTCCTCTTAATGAGTCTGGACTAGGTATGTAGGTCACTCCCCTTAATGAGTCTAGACTATGTATGTAGGTCACTCCTCTGAGTCTAGACTTGGTATGTAGGTCACTCCCCTTAATGAGCCTAGATTAGTTATGTTGGTTACTCCTCTTGAGTCTAGACTAGGTTTGTATACACCAGGGTTATATTATACTGCTATTAATGAGTTTAGTCTAAGTATGTAGGTTACTCTGCGTAATATTATACCAGGTATGCATATTACACTATGTGAATTGGAACCTGTTACTGTTAAACATGAAAAGCACTAAAGTGCAAACCCTCGGCGAACTGCGCATCCACGATACTGCTAATTGATGGGCTGGGCTATTAGTAGTGTTTACTCGTTGTCTCCCACTAGTAGCCCGCGGAGAGTCTTACATGGGGTAGCTACAGCAGTGGATAGCATGCAGGGGTCGATACACGACCTTCGTTGTGACTTCTTGTTCCTTCAAGATACACAGAGCAAGCAGACCCGGTCAAGTTAAGCCCAGTGTGATCATGCATATTGGCTTTTTCGCTTGTTTTCACGCCATATCTCTCGAATGCAGTCGTTTCAGGAAAATCGCCCTTTTAGTTTTCAGGCTCGCGTACTTCTGAAGCCGCTGGTATCGCTAGTAGACCGCCTCGTAGCTTGTAGTGCAAGAATAAGCGTTGACACACAGACACACAGAGACAGACAGACAGACAGACAAACCAACTAGTTAACTACCTTTCACAATCTCTGGACTATGAATAATCACCTACACCTATGTATACCACCACTGTGTGCAGGTTTCATTGACTACATTGTGAGTCCCCTATTTGACGTGTGTGGGGATATGTTGGAGCTGCTGTCGTCCTCAGCTCTCCCCGGGAGCACTGTCTACAGTAGACCTTGGCTAGTCAACCTGACCCACAACAGACAGAGGTGGCTCTCAACCACCCACACAGAGAACACTCCAGGTATGGTCACCCTTCACTCTCCAAGGTAGAGAACCTCCAAACAAGGGACACTATGGGAGCAATGGGTTTGTCCCTTGTAGAGAGGCCCTTTATCAGAGGTCAAATAATAAATTAAAGTATTAGCATGGGATTGAAAAAAGTGTTCTTCGTAGAGGGGTCGTCCCTATTCTCAGAGGGTCCCTTATTATAGGTTCCACTGTATTCCTCTAGATATTGCTCTGTGGTATAGTTCCTCGTCTTTCATATTGGTCACTATTAAAGTTTCTTCCCGAGAACATGTACTCTCATATCTGCATGCATTAGAACACTTGTCAAAACCTTTTCACTCTGGCCTCAGCAATAGAACATGATGATCAGAATGCATTGACTCTCTTCACAAAAATGTTGTTATGATGCAGGAAGAGACACCCATTTGAGCAGTCAGCAGTCTTTTTGTGAGCAGTCAGCAACCGAGGCTGTGTTCTCGATACCTGCCAATGGCCAGATGCTTTCAAGTAAGGATCATCATCAGAATGCTGACTCTCTTCACAAAATGTTGTTATATGCAGAAGAGACCCCATTTGGCAGTCGCAGTATTTTTTGTGAGCAGTCAGCACTGACTGTTTCTCGTAACACCAAATGACAGAATGCTTCACTAGTAAAGGATCATATCTCATCACTTTTAATTTTTTAATAACATCACTATCATCACAACATCAGCTACGGTGGCCTTTTTATATCTGACTGTTATCTCCTCAATGACTGTGTCTGTTATTCATTGTAGATTATAGCTATTCACCTCAGATAAAGAAATTCATGCCTCGTTCATAACACAGATAAAATGACGATAGGGGGTTAAAAAAAGTCAGAAGGAGAGAAAGAAAGGGAAAGGAACAAAAATTGACGAGAATGTGAATTCTTAATAAAGACTAAGGCTGTTGATACCACCTATATAGTCTTAAAAATTTTAGAAGTGACAACCTGTTTCTTAGTGTGGTCATATTTATGTAAGGCATTGTTAACCCTCGGCGCGCATGCGCAGCGAGGGTTACGGTACTTGGTCGTTTGTCTGTCTGTCCGTCTGTAGCTGTCCGTCTGTCCGCGCGAGTTCTCGCACTACGGGCTACGGGGCGGCCAATGAGTGGCACCAATGGGTTGTGAACAACGAGAAGATTGATATTAATGTGGCGATTTTCCTGAAACGACTGCGTTCCAGAGATATGGCGTGAAAACAAGCGAAAAAGGCAATGTGCGGCACGCGCGCCCTCTCCGGCAGACTATATAGTGCGCACGTGTCATGTCCATTTTTCGCCGGAGCATGCGCTACGCCACATTGGTTGTATATATGATCCACAGGCTTATATATAGATGGGAAGGCATGGCTGCATCCACAAACTGCTCGCCACCTGAACTATTATGCTACATTGCGAATATACCTTGCTCAGCATGTTTATCCAAAGAGAAAACATCTGGCGAGAGAATTGGGGCACAGAAGAGCGCATAGATTGAATAAAGCAAATATGAGAGCCTCTGAAACACCTGAGCAATTGCTCTAACCAACTAGCTACCCTGTGTTACGGGGAGACTCGTGTTACTGGCTCCGTCGCCCGCCAGCATACAGCGATACTACAACTCGCGCGTTTAGCGCCGAGGGTTTGCACTTTCATTATCAATGTGTCTATAATTATGCTTCATAATCTATTATACATGACCTTGCAATTCGCACCCAGACCCTGTTCAGCTACCATTTCCTGCTGTATATTATACAACGCGCAAAAAAGCTATCCAACAGTTTAGGGTTACAATGAGACACTGACTTCATTTTTAAGTGGTCAAGTCATGGCATTAAAGCTCACACCCGCCCAAAGTTGCGCGAGTGTGTATGGATCCATTCATGCTAATCCATAAAACTTGCCTCGTTATGTAACTATACGGTTGGTCCCCTTTTGTCATTCTTCATCAAAGCTAAACTGAGGAATCTTCTCCATTCATGAGATCCATAGAGTATAGCTAGCTTGGTGAATTAAGCTAAACTCTGAAATCTCTACCCTGCAACTCTCGTTCAGCTATTGATTGTATTACTGAGATTGACAATATCTAGCTTGGTGTAGAGTTGTTTTTGCTCTCACTGTCTACTGCTTTTCATCTCCCATAGTTCAGGCTGTTTCTACTCAAATCTAAAACTGTTACTGGATACGTATCTGTTGTGCTAGAGTACTAACTCAAAGCACCCATCATGCACCCAGAACACTGGGTGGAGCTAGAACAAGTTGCACAAAGATAAATGTAGGTATTATATACCTTCCTTACTACAAACTTACCTAGCCCTGTGCTGACCCTTTCCAGGTCTCCAGGTGAGACGGGAGATACTTTACCACAGTGTTATTGCCATTACTATAACTTAGTCCTTTCTTAACTCCCAGAGAACCTAACCCTTAATCTAGAACCGAGGTCACTGGCCCCATGAATGTACTTCTTGAACTGTATCACCTTTCCTAAAGTGGTGAAAGCTTGACCTTGTTACTCAAACCTTTTGCCCTCCCTCTGATGCTGTCTCCTATATACAATGGCAAGAAAACATTTTAATGAACGCTCCCCCTTCGAATGTCACCCAAGAACGCTGTCTTATCCAAACCTAATGAAGAAGACTCAGAGTTATGGTCTACATGAGGGCATCATTTGTCATTCAGTCTTGTGTGGGTGTTAGAGAGTATGTTTCTGTTGGTGAACGGAATTTTGAATTTTTTTGCAGTGATAATTATGGGCTATCTGGCATTGCAAACACAATCTCTCTTATACGTGCCAATTTGCATGGGTGGAGTTTTTATCAGCTGTGGCCAGTGGGGCAGGTTCGGTCATCCACCAGATGTTACACTTGCTGCAGCTGCGCTCGGACAGTTGCAGCGTTTCATACATCAGTCTCCTGTGTGTAGCCACCTGTTCCCACACAGTGTGCAGAAACCTGGAGCACTCAATTAGGAGCGGACTTTGCTCTGCCATTATCCTGGAAATGTTCTGAATAATATTTATAGTGCTGAAGTTGGCACCGAAACTAGTCGCTGGTTGACCACAAATGCACATGCCTGGAATTGAACGTAAACATTCCAGATAGACCAGATTGGCCATGTTTCCTCTCCATACACTTGACTTTTGGCCACATAATATATAGCTACACTCTACTGATTCTTTCATGGAAATAGTATATATAATTATAACAATTTTACTTGGACTGTTCAGGGTGTTAGCTACCCATGCTTGTGTTCTCTAGCTTTCTACTGTATACACGCCTCAAAGCAGGCACTTAAAGACTGGAGACTGATACGTCTGAATACCATTAGCTATGTAGCTCTAGCTACCATTTAGACTGCATGTTTATGTGTATACTCTGGGTGTTTTCTAATCTGCACTATGCCAAGGTATATAGCTACATTGACGTGACAAACATGATCAAGGTAGGAGCTATGGCAATGTTAAAATTCTCTATCTTCCCATCTTTTACTTAGTCAAAACTGCTCAGAGTATATGGAAGACCTATTTAACATCAATCTTCTTTTTATCTGGAGGTGACAAGCTATATTATTATTGTTAGCTACTGGACATGGAACATTTTTTTGCCTTCACTGGTACTTACTGTTAATTTAATGGTTATACTTTGCCTATACAAGACAGCTGAGGAGAAACTGTATATAGTATTATGCTACCATTTAATTGCTTTGCAAGGGTGCTGAATAGTGGTTCACTGGCACCAGGAGTCACGCAAGTACTCCATTGGGCCACTTTTTCTCTACCAATAACTTCTCAAAATGGTCATCGCACAATGTGTAATTAGTGCATTTGGACGAGCATTCATTGTTTCACATTAATACCTGTGCTATCTGCGGCTAGTGGTCTAACTGAAGTGAGCTATCAGTTATCACTTATAAACAACAACCTTAGTGCTGTGACTCACACAATGAAATGTGTTCTATTTCCCTCCAGATGTGATTATGAGATCACACGGATATTACAGCTCAGAGAATGCAAATCACTTAGACAAGTTTTAGTCCTCATGTACCTATACAAGCTGTTTTGTTAATTAATCAAGATAAGATTGTGCCGTTATGCAAGAGATATAGGAATAATAGCTACAGCTCAGAGAATGTAAGTTTACTTTCACAATATCCACATTAAATTAAACTACTACGAGCTATCTCGACAATCAATTGCGCTGTTATGAAGAAAATAATTATGAGTTCACAGGGGAAAAACTCAGAGAATGCAAATTAGCTAACTTTATTTTCCCACATGCATCACCTATCTCTACAAGCTGTTTCAACAATATTCAGTCGTGCTGTTGCCCTCTAGATGCAAAGCACATTGACAAAAGCATGTTTTTCAGGGTCTCCATAGTGATTGCTAAAAAATCTGATGTCTCGTCCAAGATCATTCTCATTTGTGGCCAGCAGAACAACGCCATAGTTTGGGTCTCCATCCTTCCAATTGCGCACTGCCTTACTGATATCAATCTCTATGAAACCGGTTGCTGGTCTGTCAGAACACCAAACATTTTTAGACCAAAACTGTGAGCATATTATTCATACCTGCTAGTGTAGATTGTAGTCACAGGCACAGAGTCTAGGCGAGCATTACTTCACAGGCACAGAGTCTAGGCGAGCATTACTGGAAACAGCATCACTACCATCCAGAGCAAGCCATGGCTGACTCCATTGCTGACCAGAGACACGAGACACGGAAGGCGGAGGTAGCTTCCGATTCAGACCATTGCTTTTTCACCTGCATTGTACTGGGCTATTATTGTAGATATGAATTTATGAGCTATTATACCTGATAAGCTTCCAATGGTCGAGGTATGTATGGCACGTGTGCCGCAGTCATTGTGGGGGATTTGTATGCAAATGCAAAGAAAACATACATTTTTGCCCATGTAATAGTTCCACAGGAAGATGGAAGATCCTGGAACTGCAAAAGAGATCGCATAAGAGGAAGTCCTGGGTGAGTACCAACAACAAGGTAATCAAGGTTGTTGTGGTTCTGAGCAGAACTTGAAAGAGCGACATCCTAAAAAAATGAAAGTTGTGCTGCACAAACAAATCATTATTATTGTATAGCTATACCTGTGAACTCGGAGCTTATAAAGATTTCCAACACCAGTAGCTATCAGTTTGGGTGATAGCTTCGATCCTGCTCGCCAACAGAATTATGGCAATTATTATAACACAGCACTGCATCATTGACGCCGTCTTGGAATACAACCCGAGACTTTTTGACAAGGATTATCCTGAATGGTTCTGAAGAGAGCTTCTAGGCCTTCGATTTTTATGTTGTGCGTCTCAACCGCGCGCGCACGGGTTCATTCTTAGAAACTCGTCCAGCACTGTAGGAGGAAACTGACAGAGCTTCTATACGGAACCAATTCGATAAGTATTTTCAATAGAAAAACATGTGCAGCATCAATGAAAAGCACTACAGTGCAAATCCTCAGCGATTTGCGCATGCGCGGTACTGCTAATTGATGGGCTGGGCTATTTCGTGGTGGTCTCCCGCTAGTATAGCTCGCGGAGAGTCTGACACGGGCTAGCTACAGTAGTAGATAGCATGCGGAAGTCGATACACGCCCTTCGTTGTGACTTCTTATGCCTTCAAGATACACAGGGCGGGCCCGGTCGAATTAGCATAATAACCGCATGTGCATTTTCCGCAGCGATAAAAATGGCCGACTACGCATTAGCCGCTTTGCAACGGAGAATTTTCAGACAAAACCGCACAAAATTCTGACCTTCATTGCCCGTTGAGTAGGTCGTATCGTTTGTGAGACGAACAAACACTCGAGAAGTGACAGAAACACACACGCACACACTGACCCAATGAAAAGCGCTGAAGTGCAAACCCTCGGCGCACTGTGACGCGCACGCGTAAGTAAACGCATGCGCAATACCACTAATTGATGGGCTGGGTTTAGTTTTAGCTGTTACTCGTGGTCTCTTGCCAGCTCGCGCAGAGTCTGACGCAGGCTAACTACACTACTAGATAGTATGCGAGAGGCGATACACGCCCTGCGTTGCATCTTCTGGTGCCTCCGAGGTACGCAGAGCACGCGGATCGATCAGACCGTGGTAAGCCATCCCGTATTTGCAATTGGCTTTTTCGCGCTGTAGCTCTGCAACGGAGCATTTTCAGAGAAAACCCCACATATTTTCTGATCTTCGTTGCCCGTTAAGCAGGTCGTATGCTTTGTGAGACGAACAGACACTCGAGAAGTGAGATTGAGAGTAACAGACAGACAGACAGACAAACCCAATGAAAAGCACTGAAGTGCAAACCCTCGGCGCACTGTGACGCGCACGCGTAAGTAAACGCATGCGCCGTACCACTAATTGATGGGGTGGGTTTAGTTTTAGCTGTTACTCGTGGTCTCTTGCCAGCTCGCGCAGAGTCTGACGCGGGCTAACTACACTACTAGATAGCATGCGAGAGGCGATACACGCCCTGCGTTGCATCTTTTGGTGCCTCCGAAGTACGCAGAGCACGCGGATGGATCCGACTGTGGTAAGCCGTTGTGTATTTGCAAATTTGCTTTTTCGCGCTCTAGCTTTGCATTCGAAATTTATGACCTTCATTGCCCGTTCAGTAGGTCGTATCCTTTGTGAGACGAACAAACACCCGAGAAGTGAGATTGAGAGTAACAGACAGACACACACACAGACAGACCCAAGTACTGTAACCCTCGCTGCGCATGCGCGCCGAGGGTTAATTATTATTATTATTATTATTATTATTATTATCACATGCCAATAAGGCACAAAAAAGAAAGAAGAGATGATGAAATAAGGAGTTAAGAACATGATAATTTAAAAAGAAGCTCTTCAAATGGCGATACAGGACCAAAAACATAACGGATAGAACGAATAATTTGGGCAACATTTGTAACATGATCAGTATATGTTTCATTTTGTAAGAGTAAATGACCAAACATGAAATTATGTCCCACGAAGGTATAAGCTAAAAAACATGAGTCATGAAATATACGCGAGACAAATGACGAATTTGATATAAGGCCAGAATTACAAAATTTTATAAATCTTCCATAAATTATTCGAAGTATGTTTGTAGTCTTAGCAACACAGTGTACTATGGAAACATGACAACGGGAGGGCAAGTGCCAAACTTTTCGCATGATCTTGTTCAGAGCAGTTTGAAGAGAGTACAAATTCTTTGACCCTAAATGCCAAAGGCAACAACCATAAAGGGCGAGACAATATAACTTAACAAGAAAACATTTGACATTACTATCAGCAAAATAGAAAGTACAGAGAGAACAATTAGCTTTTTGGTTCAGATCTTTGAGTGCACGGGTTACATCAGGTCCATCGTTTAGGTCAAAGGATAGCACATGTCCAAGATGTATGACTTCATTTTTATATGGAAGAGCAGTGTTGTTGAATGTGATCAGTGGTAAAAAGCGACAGTTTTTGCAAGAACGAAAACAAATAAGCTGAGTTTTACTAGCATTGAACAACAAACCATGATCATGAGCATATAAACTGCAAATATCCAACATCCGTCTAAGAGCAGACGCACATGGAGCCAGGATAACAATGTCATCTGCATAGCAGAGTGCTCCTGCAAACATGTGACCCCAATAACAACCAACACCAGAGTCTGATAACTCTTCCAACAAACCATCCAAGTAAACAACAAATAAAACTGGTGAGAGGACTCCACCCTGTCTGACACCATTTGAAACACCAAAAGGTTCGGAAAAACAATCACCCCAACGAACTCTCATCTCCTGTAAGCTATACCAATTTACCAAGAATCGAAGAATTGGAGTAGGCAAGCCCCTATGTTGTAACTTTGAGAAGAGTTTACCATGATCCACCAGATCAAATGCTTTGTAGGCACATTATGCGCAGTAGCGTTCTTTCTGCCTCCTACGGTATGTACGCGCAGGCGTATTAGAGCCAGTTTCAAAAATGGGTGTGGCCACGTTTTGAGTATTACGTTCGTTGAACTTTGCCACACAGGGGCTACGCCCATTTTTCTGAATAGGCTCTCCGCGTACGTACCGTAGGAGGCAGAGAAAACCACTGCGCATAGTGGAGACGGACCGTTCGCTCCCGGTGAAGTCGCGCACTAGTTTTCTCTCCCATAGAGAATGTATGGAGGAGGAATATGAATATGCTAATGAGCTTGTAAAACAAGGAGTGAAAAATCCAAGACAGGTACCAAAATTCACTATAATTCACGAGCGTTTTAGCCATGCTATTGAAAAAATAACTAAAATATCGACACCCACGCAATTTGAGCGAATCTTTAATGGCTACACAGCAAGAAACTATATACGATCATTTGTCTACCTTTTCGCGAAGAAAAATCTCCGTGCGCCGTTCAGGGATCGCGCAGTGCCGTGTCTTTCCCGAGACCTTCCCCGTGCGGCCAGCCATACCCGGGAATTCCACGGAGAAAATTACGCGGTCAGTTATACGTAATCAATACAAAACAAACAAAGCAAACAAAACAGAAGTCAATACAAAACAGACGAAAACACAAAAACAAAAACAAACAAACAAAACAAACAAAACCACAGGCGCGCGCCGCGTGATCGCGTATACGGAATTTTGGATTTAGACGGGAAGTTGATCTTTGAGGTCAATTATCCGTTCCCGTTTCTAGGGACGCCCTCGCTAGCGCGAAAGCGAAGCGCGTTACGCGATTTGCGATTGCGTCATAGTACGGAGCGGGCTTTTAGTAAAAGGCTCGTACATAAATCGCGCGTCAAATGGGTCCTTTTCCCGTAGCGGGTCACTAATAGAATTTGATGCCTCTTCCCAGAGCATTCTCGTTTGTTGCCAGTAGTAGAACACCATAGTTGGGATCTCCACTTTGCCAGTTGCGCAACGCTTCAGTGATGTAAAATTCAATGAAACCTGGAGCCCTGAGACAACAAACAAATTGAGGTGATACATATTGCCTCACACTAATAAAAGAGTTTGTGTACCTGCTGGTGTAGATAGTAACAGGATAACACAGAAGGCCATTGGGATCAGTATCACTGCCATCCAGAGCGAGCCATGGCTGATTCCATCGCTGACCAGAGACACGAAAGGTTGAGGTAGCTTCAGATTCAGACCAGTTCTGCCTCACCTGCATTAACAGAAGCTCAATGTATTTTGTAAAGCATAGGTTTTTACAATACCTGATGTACTTGGAGTGGTCGAGAAATGTATGGTACTTGTGTCACTGACATAAAGCTGGCTTTGTGTGCATAAGCAAAATGCACATACATTTTGGCCCAATGAACGTGTATACAAGTAGACGGAAGATCTTCAAACTGTAACAGAGATCGTTTAAGAGGATAGTGAGGGTGAGTACCAACAATAAGGTACTGATGGTTGTTGTAGTTCCTAGATCCTCTTTCAAGCCACACATCCTATAGAGAAAGAGACATAGCTACTCCATTTATCACACTACTTTAGTTTGCTTGAATTACCTGAGTAACTTGCAAATTGTAAGTATTCCCAGCTCCAGTATCAAATTGTCCAAGAGCTTCAATCCTGCTTGCAAAAGGAATAGGCAATAACGGAACCAGCAATGTATCACTGCATCGTTGACATCTTGTAGCCAATGACCATAGAGCATTAAAAGTCTGTTGCATACCCTCTGCCTAGCCCTGCTGCTTTTTTACAGTGGATGAGTGCATGTGTGGGTCTGAGGTCCACTTGTTTGAAAACAGGACTGAGGGATCTAACATAATACCCCATCCCACACAGTGGTTCACACTTGAAAGGTGTTGTGTGGGTTTCAATTCAGCTTTGTCATGAAGGCTAGTAGTATCAGGGCCGGGAGGGATCTACCCAAATACACCAACTTACACAGTGGTCCATACATGAAAGAGGCTGTGTAGGTTTATTTTGGTGGCCGTGTGGGCTTGAGAGGTCTAGAGTAATAAATTTCAGTTCTTGTTATCCGGCTTCTCTCAAACTGAAGCAGAATGTTCACAGAGATAGGTATCTAATCTGCGGTTTTCACAGACGACAAAATTACCCAGGCTACGTATCCCCCACTGAGATCCCCCACTATGTATCCCCCACTGAGAACTGCTGGGTCATGAAGTTAAAAATCACTGACTTTTCTCAGACCGAGAAATGTGACCCCACTCAGCTATATGCAACACCATAGTTTTGTAGCTAACAACATCCTTGAGCTGGGTGTGTTTTTGCACGCATTATTAACCCTCGGCGCGCATGCGCAGAGAGGGTTATGGTCTGTGTGTGTGTGTGTGTGTCTGTCTCAGCAGCTATTCTCGCACTACTGGCTACGAGGCGGCCCATGAGCGATACCAACGTCTTCAGCAGACCTGCCAACCCTCCCGGAATTTCCGGGTTTATCCCGGAAAAGAGATGCTTTACCCTCTGCCCCGCATATTGGTCAAAAACTCCTGGATTCTCGGCGCTGCGCGTTCTGCACACCCCCATGCACTATAGATACCTGCTGCCGCGCGGTGCAAAGCGATACGACGTAATAAACGGGTAATAAGAATCAGTTTAATCGAACGGTTTTCTCTGAAAATGCTCCGTTGCAGAGATCTGAGCGTTAGCTACCAGCATAGTAGGCGTACATTCCGCCGGCCATTTTTTACTCGCCGAAAACGAGCATGCGTATTATATTACGACCACGTGGCCGTCCGGAAGTCTCCGCGTGTGCCGTGAGTTACGATTTTCCCTGGCTATCATGCCTCCAAGCAAGGTTTGCCCACAATGTCAATCTAGTTAACGGCCAATGAAGGTCAGAAGTTTCGAACGGTTTTCTCTGAAACTGCTTCGTTGCAAAGCTAGAGCGCGAAAAAGCCAATATGCAAATACACAACGGACGGGATGGCTTTCGACGGTCGGATCGATCCGCGTGCTCTGCGTAAACCTCAGAGGCACCAGAAGATGCAACGCAAAGCGTGTATCGCCTCTTGCATGCTATCTAGTGGTGTAGTTAGCCTGCGTCAGACTCTGCGCGAGCAACTAAACCCATCCCATGAATTAGTGGTACGGCGCATGCGTTTACTTACGCGTGCGCGGGTCCCAATGCGCCGAGGGTTTGCACTTCATTGCTTTTCATGCAAAGATACACAAAGCTACATGACACCATCCCTATATCTTTGTTTTATTGTTCATAAGCAAAGTTTACAAAGATATAGGGATGGTGTCATACATCTTTGTTGTGTCATAACCCCTTTTTTCTTCCTTTTTGGTGCTTCAAGCCATCCCTACATCCCCCTTCATTTTGAAGAAATGATTCTTCCACTTGTAGACTTATAATTATATAGGCATGTGAGTGTGCAACACAAGGGAACTGCTATTTAAGGTTGTGCTCTAGGTACACTTGGTGGTTGAATTGATAATCAGACTAAAATTGCTGGGTGCAATCGTAAGTACAAACAGTAAGAAACAGGCTCAATAAATGAATGCAGCTACACACTACTTTTTTAATGCTGCCAACATCTTACTGGCTGTAGCTAACCCTGACAAATCATGCACTGCTGGCTTAGCTTAGTGTACAAAGTACTCAGATTAAACATCATAATCAATAGTAGCTACCTACACCAAAGATAATCATGTTCATAATTATTATTATATATGTAACGGAGAACTACCATTGACTTATATACTGTTGACTTACTATGCGCATGCGTCTATTCTGTTTTATGATGTAATACTGTACTTTGTACTTAGA